CAAAGAATGAGCGTTTTTTGTCATTGTTGTGTTACACAAGAGGCCTGATTTACTCTTCTTGAAGATGGTTTTGTGGTAGCAGTTGAAGACTTGCAATATTTGAACTCATCCGATCTGCAGCAGCTGTACAGTTATCCTGTTTTGATCTGCCAGGAAGAAGAAACTGAGGTTCCACCCACGTCAGCTTTACCCTGCTGCCAAGCAAGGAGAAGTGCAGCGAGTCCTGCTCATGCTGAGTGAGTGGGCTTGCCCTTTTCATGTAGTCGATACAGATCTTGCTTACATTTTCCTCAAAATACCTGTACATTTGTGCATTTCCTCTGATCACAACACAAGATCAGGATACATTTCTACAATAAGTGTGTATTGAAGAGTGCGTCTGTGTGTGTATGACAGTGGAGGGCATAGATCCGTCATACCAGCCCGAGTCTCAGAACAAGCGCTCGGCTCTACATGCTGCGGCTCAGAGAGGTCTGCTGGAAGTCTGCTACATTCTTACACAGGTGAGAAAACAGAATACTCAAAAAGCGTCTGTCTTCTCTGTCATTAGTACACGATCGATAAAAATCGATGAAAGCTGTTATTGGCGGTTTATTTTTTTTGATGTTGCGATTGTATGCTGACAGGCCGGTGCTCAAGTGAATGCGCAGGACAAAGACCGCAGGACCCCTCTGCTGGAAGCGATCATCAACAATCACATTGAGGTGGCTCATTATCTGATTCAGAACGGTGCCTCCGTCTATCATGTTGTAAGTGTTGGTCCCTAAATTACAATCGTAATTGTGAACTATCCAACGTTGGGTTGATTCGCACTTCAGTCTTTATTTATGTCCTCAGGAGGAGGACGGATATACTGGCCTCCACCACGCAGCCAAGCTTGGAAACCTGGAAATTGTCAACATGCTTCTAGAGACGGGGCAAGTTGACGTAAACGCACAGGTAAAACATTTACCCTTTTCTTCTGTTATTAAAGTCCGTTTGTGCATCGAAGTTGTCCGACAATAAGGCCGCTGAGGTTTAATTGCGATTCTTCCTGTCAATTTTGTTTCAGGACAGCGGTGGCTGGACGCCGATCATCTGGTCTGCAGAACACAAACACGTAGATGTGATAAAAGTGCTGCTGAACAGAGGAGCGGACGTCACCATTAGCGATAAGGTAATATTCCACCAGCTGACACTGAGGTCGGCAGATTGTTTTGCATGAAAAATGTTTGCAGCATAATTAGCAGATGCGCTCCGAGTGGGAGACAGAATGGCAAAGTGGATGTAGTTGCATGAAATTCAGGTTATTACTTTAAACAGTCTCCTTCCTCCCTTTAGGAGCTGAACGTGTGTCTCCACTGGGCGGCTTATGCAGGGAATGTGGAGATAGCCGAGATGGTTTTGAACTCCGGCTGTTCCCTTGCCTCAGTTAACATGCACGGAGACACGCCGCTCCACATCGCCGCCAGAGAAGGCTACTTGGAATGCGTCACGTGAGTGAGCGTCAATCTCCGAGCGACAAACTCATTTCCACCGACGAGTCACACGCGTCCTTTTTCTTGAGCTCGAAGCCCGCGGCAGCTGCCTATGCACCCACCACCACGTACCAGACCACGTGCTTCTCTGTCCTCTGCAGGTTGTTCCTGTCCAGAGGTGCGGACATTGACATCGTGAACAGGGAAGGAGACACGCCTCTCAGCCTGGCACGGGTGGACACGCCAGTGTGGGTGGCACTCCAGATAAACAGGAAGCTGAGAAGGGGAATAACCAATCGAATGCTGCGGACCGAGAGAATCATCTGCAGGTAGTTGTTGTGTCGTTTTAGTGGAGATTGGTCACCCAATGATGGACTCGTTCTTTTTAACTCATTGAACTCTTCCTGTCTCCCAGCGACATAGCGCAGGGCTACGAGAACGTGCCGATACCGTGCGTCAACGCAGTGGACGACGAGGGCTGTCCTTCAGACTACAAATATGTTTCGGAAAACTGTGAAACTTCAGCAATGAACATAGACCGCAATATTACACACTTGCAGGTATAATAAGAATCAGACGTCCTTATTCTCTTTCTGTTACATACACACACTATTTGTATGCAATGAAAATGGCATCGCATGCTGTTTGATTCTCTTTATTTTAGCACTGTAGCTGCTCTGATGACTGCTCATCTAGCAACTGCCTCTGTGGACAGCTCAGTATCCGCTGCTGGTACGACAAGGTAAATGGAAGCGTTTAGGACGCATCACTAAAGTCAGCTGCTTCAAAACCTGCTTGATTTAAATGAAGGAACTAACTGAAGAGAAAAATAAAGAGATTGTCTCATAGCATCAATAACTATCTGAGCAATCGGAAATGATCAGCAGGAATTTGACTACGGTTTAGTCTGTGAGATCCATGAGGTGACGACGAGTTACATGAGTGAAACTAATGTCAACTGGTATAATTTCTCCCCAGGACCAACGTCTGCTCCAGGAATTCAATAAAATTGAACCTCCACTTATATTTGAATGCAACATGGCGTGTTCCTGTTACCGAACATGCAAGAACCGAGTGGTCCAGGCAGGCATCAAGTAAGTTCTAACATTAACATAAAAGCTCCAATGCATGCTGCTAACCATAGGGCCAATCGATTTCAGTAGCTGCCCCCTTCCCTTGTGACGCCCCAAGCCACATAGTGTGTGGAATTGAACCTTCATAGTTTATTTTTCTTCCCTCGTTCAGAGTGCGTCTTCAGCTCTACAGGACAGAGAAGATGGGCTGGGGTGTTCGGGCTCTGCAGGATATTCCACAAGGGAGCTTCATCTGCGAGTAAGAGAGGACCTTAACTGGTTGCTTTTTCTATGAAAAGGTTTGACGCTAAGCTTCTTTCCTTCGTCCCGCCTCAGATACGTCGGCGAGCTCATCTCTGACGCAGAGGCAGACGTTAGGGAAGACGACTCCTACCTGTTTGATCTGGACAACAAGGTGAAACCTTTTATGTATAAAAAAAGAAAGATTACTTATTTCCTCAATAACAAACAATAAATAACTATTGTAGTAGATTATTAGCCCAAACTTAACGCTGCGTGGCCTCCAGAGTCCAAATGTCTTATTTAAATCTGCTGAAGTTGCATATACCAAAAACATGACACTTAATTGGTTGCTCTTTCTTTGTATTTAAGAGACATTTTACTGTATTACTAATGCAAAACAATATGCAATGTTTTGGTGTGAGGGCCTGTTGAATATGCACTGTGCCTGACGGGTGCCTCACACGTTGTTGTTGTTGTTGTTGGGGTTTTTTTAAGGATGGGGAGGTGTACTGTATTGACGCCCGGTACTATGGGAACATCAGCCGCTTCATCAACCACCTGTGTGACCCAAACCTCATCCCAGTCCGTGTGTTCATGCTGCACCAGGACCTGAGATTTCCCCGAATCGCCTTCTTCAGCTCCAGAGACATCCACAGCGGACAAGAGCTGGGGTGAGAAGTTTGTGATCAGCTGCTCAGAGCTTTTTACGCCATCCCTCCTTTTACAGTTCCACACTGTTTGCACATCTCGATCCTTTGATCTAGAATGATATTCATCATTAGATTGTCTAATTTTAAATGCATGGTTATTTTCAAGATTGTAAGCATTTTTTTTATTTGTCACAACAACCGATCTACCTGACGGCTCATTCCAGCGTAACCTTGAATAAGAACGTTTGATTTGTCTCTTTCGTTAGATTCGACTATGGAGACCGCTTTTGGGACATTAAGAGCAAGTATTTCACCTGTCAGTGTGGATCGGAGAAATGCAAGCACTCGGCCGAAGCCATCGCTTTGGAGCAGAACCGACTGGCTCGACTGGAGTCTTGCCCAGAATCAGGAGCCGACTGTGGGATGACCATGCTGGGAAACTCATAAAATACTCACCACAGGGGCCTTTAGGTTGACCTCATCCGTTTCACATGTGCGCAATGGAAATGCACTTTGAGGGTTTTATCATCTTTAAAATTCTGTGTTTGGTGCATGGTGCTGTTTTTCTTTTCTACTTGAAATGTCCATTTTTTTCTCGTTTTAAGTAGATTGTGTACCCTGTGGTCTAGATCGTGGGCCTAAAGAGATGTTTTAAACGGTTTGATTTTGAACATACAGTACACTGTATATATGGCTCTTTGTCTCGGCACATGGAGTCTGCATTAGGACACTGCCACGTTACTGTTACATACATGTTTTCTGTTTTGCCAACCAATATAATGCATTTTTGACACAGTACAGTAATGGGGCAACCCTAAGCCCGTACTGGATTCAACAAGGACCTGTGTGTCATATGGTTTTGTATTATTATTTTCTTTGTTTTTATACATATCGTTTTCTTCATCACATTTAGTGTAATAAATTGGCTCATGAGTTGATCTTTGGGCTCTTGTATTAAGTGTGTCATTTTATTTTTAGATTAGTGTCTCACTGGCTCACGACGTCACAATCCCGTATTCTGACATTCATTCGTGCAACTTGATACAATACATTAAGCAATGATTGTGAGGTCTCATCGAGGCTGTTGGAGTCCTAGTATCAGCAGAGGCCCTTTACAAGCCACGATGTGAAGCAGGAGAGATGGGGCGGGATGCTGCACAGTCACAGACAGGGAACCAGAAAGAAAGATGTCCCACTCTGATGATAATTCTAATAAGGAGTCTCTGACAGACAAACAGGTTATAGCTGAAAAACGATCGTCCCAGCGTTGGAATGACGTTCACGTTAGACCAGCAATATGCAATGCAATATGGTCGTAAACTTTGTAAACTTAAATAAAACTGAAATACCACAAAGGAGAGGATCAAATATATTTGTATTTTTTTAACGTCTACAATAGACTAACTTTAGTCTTTTTGAAGAAAAACTTTTACTTTAGACAAATTTTCAACGTTGGCCAACAGGATTACTGGGCTGTCATTAGACATCCTGCCTGGAACATTTTCACTCAAGTTTTTACAATCTCCGTTAGAGTGATCCCTCTTCTCCTAAAGCAACCTTTGGCAGCGCGCGCAGGTGTGCATCGCTTCGCAGGTGCGCTCGTGTCGTCACCGCCTGGTTACAAGTGGCAGGAAGAAAAAGATTCTCAAAGCTCGTTACCATGGCCGCTCCGGCACGCAGGAGCTCGTTTTAAACGCAATTTGAGCTTTTTCTTAGAACTTTCCTTCACAACTTTCAAGAAAAGGAAGCCGAGCGCGAGAAGTGGAGGCGGTGAAGGTGCAGAATGGGTAAAACGGAGAAGACCGATCCGGACTCCGAGTACGGTGAGTTTGCCTCCCGCCTCACCTTCGCTTCAAGAGAGAACGGCAGCATCAGCGAGGACGATACTACGTATTCAAGTTCATACATCAATAGATCGACAGTGTTTACACCAGATTTAAATCTAGCTACTAGTGAACTTTACAATTGCAGAGTGAATTAGTGACACACTAAGTTTAGATTGTACACCTGTGCGTTATCCCCAATAGAAATGCTTTAAATGTTTACTAACATTTAAGCGTACGTTTCTTTCTAAAAAAAAATATATATATTTTCACAAGTTCAGTTTTCTACAAACTCTTCCATTGTATATGTATTTTTATTAATCGTCTTTTGATTTAAGTTTGAATCTAGCTTGGATGATGACATGAAGTTTGAAACATGTGACAAGGACACATTGATTCTCTTTAAAGAGTCAGAAAGACTTTGAAAACCCACGAAACTCCAATGAGCGCGACCCCCATGATGCAATCTACATTGTTGTTGTGGTGAAAGTAGTTATATGATCAATAAATAAATGGTGGTCAGCCAGTAATGAAGACGGTTTTGTGAAGACGTTTAACGTTTTATTTTGTGAGTTAATGATCGTAGCTACTCTGATGTCCCGTTTGTTAACTGCCTGTTTGTGACATTAACACACAGGAATCTGTGTGTTTTTTGTTTCTTTGAAAAAACAAAACTTATTTTGCCATTAAATGTAATGGCAAATAATTAGTCAAATTTTCTGGCATCAATTTATGGTTTCAGCTTCAGTCAATTAATTTTGTCCATTGTTTGTTTTATTACGTGCAAGAAATTGTTTGAAAATGTCCATCAACGGGTGACGTTTTGAAAGCGTGTATTATGTCGGATCAAGGATCCAAAAGCCACAGATATTCAATCTACAATTCGGTAAAAGGAGGGAATCCACAATAGCTGCAAAATGTTCCTTATAGTGTCTAACTTATTCATACAGGCACCTAAAAGGGAACTACAGTACCACATAATACACAGAAGACAAAGTTCTATCTGCTGAAACATCTTAAAAACCGGCTTGTCAAGTTCCCCTCAGATGCTTTTCGCTGTATCATGTTTACTCTGTGGTATGTGTGATATATCAATGAGGTCACTAGTCTATTGACCGTCTGGGAGGTTTGGCAAACGGCACAGTAAACAAACCCTCCTTAAAGCTAAATATCAGATTTCATGTCTCTTTAAATAGCTTATGAAAACATCAGAGTACGCGAGGACAACAGGAGCGGAGCCCACAAGTGTCGGCGCTGACCGTCCCCGATTATGCCGACGGCCTCCGTAAAGCCACTCGTCACCAAATATCTGATTGTTGATCCACTTCCTAGTTCTCTGCTGCTGTACCAGCCGTCATGAGGAAGTAGAAATCCTTTTGTTGAACGATTCATTTCAATTTGGGCTCAATGGTGCCAAATGAAGTTCTCTTCCAACACGTCTGGGTTTTACTCTTGTTGAGGGCAGTTACACATTTCAAAGAGTTGAGCCTCATTTTAAATCCCAAGCTAGTTAACGTGGCCGTGGAGTATGAAGCTGGTGGGGGTCATCGTGCACAGACCGAATATTCCTCCTACGGAAAGAGTTCTGTTTGTGTTGAAGACGTATCAACTGACGTCATTTACATTAGGAAAAAGTTAAACGGGTGAACATCTTGTTTCGGGATTGTGAACCGATAAACCGACACCTGCAGCTTTAGCAACTGTCCACTGGAGCTGAAACCAACCAGTGTTTGGTGACTGATTTGGTGTTTTAACAACTAAGCGTCCTTTTTCCAAGCACAACCGCTAAATATTAACTTTTTTTTGCCACACCTACAAATGTGGGGAATTATTGCTTTTCTCTTTCGTATAGTAAACTGTGGTGGCGTTAAAAACTCATGGCCTCAACGGGTCAACCATGAAAGTGTTCAAAAGTGACATCATACTCTGACAACGAAATCAATCCCACTTTTAAATGAACGTCTCCCTGCCCGCCCTATTTTACACCTCTTCTTCCCATGACATCTTCTATATGTTACCAATTAACCCGGTGGTTGGTACATTAAATCACACTTTACGGTACGATTGCCTCAGTCAATTGACCTCATTACATACTTTCTTTATGGATCTCCTCATTTGTTGCCCCCAATGACGACTGTTTTGAGCCGCTGTTGATTCAAGTAGAATAAGAAGTCCATTCCTCCTTCATTCAAGGTCACGCGACGGTGTCCTCGCATGTCGTCCCACATCCGGCCCGCCTGAGATTCAAGGTCTAAAGGTTTAAAGCTGTCCTTAAACCTTTTTTTTACAAGGCCATAAAAAGAACTGAACTGTCCTCCTTTTTAAAGAGTCACACAGACAGTGAGCCTTTCTCTCCAGACCCTCAACAGTATCCAGGAAAAGCTGAAATCTGACTCCTGCGGCCCGACGGGAGGCTGATGAACAGGTTTCTTTGTTGAAAAGTTTGGATAGAGCGTTATGGTCGGTCAAATTTGTGTTTCTTTGTGGCTGCTCTCCATTGACATACTGTTTGTTTACCTAACACCCATATCAGATAGTAGTGTTTGGCCTGAAGGGAGCCCTTCTTATCCAAGACGTGGAACCTGTGCTTCACTGCCACTGGTCCATCTACGTTTGTTAAACCCGTACTGATCGTCTTTGTAAGGTAAACAGAAAATCCCCAAACTCCTGCATCCTGTTTCTATATTTGCATCCTTCTCAGTAGTGCTGACGGGCGGCTCGCTGTGTCTAAATTACAGTCAGCAGAGATCCTTTAGCTGTAGCCACTAAGATAAATGATTACAGTGAGCTGCCTCATGGAAAATATCCCCGCAGACCAATCAAATTTAGCACGCTGGTATTTGCAAGTAAGAGACGGGAATCCAACACTTTAACCAAATGAGCAGCTCCACACTTTGTTTTGTTGTGAGTTCATTTGAGTTATTACTTATTCTATAGTGCTGGAGCACAAACATGCACACGTTATGTTGACGTGTCCTTTGACACCTTCCAAAGGGAGGGTGTCTTCATCGTCTCCTTGGATCCGACGAGCCGGTTTTCCCGCCCTGCTGGATGATGCGGCCGAGGCTAATTGAGGCTGCCATTGTAGGAAGCTTTTCAGTTGGGATCTCCACAAACGAGTTCTCGGGCTGTCGAAAGCCAAACTCCTCTCACGCTCCCTCTTTTTAATAAGCCGGACTTTGAATTTACTTTTGTATTCAAATAAGGCCGAGCGCTGGGTGACTCGGGTCCCCACCTCTGCACTCTCTCAGCACACAGAGTAACCTGAACGAGCTGCTCTACGTTCGTATGGAAAGCAGTTTGTTTTGTTCTTCCTGGCAGCCTTCCCTCTGTTCCAGGAAAGAACGATGACACATGCATTTCCTTTACCAGGCTGTTGGCCCTGTTCTGGTCCGTTTATTGTTCCATACCAGTGTGTAACCGACCCATAAAAACCAGAGATTCAGTCTCAAAGTATTTCCTTGTTCACTGTAATACATTAACTCAAAGAAAACGGCCCGTGCTTTTTCTACTCACACCAACTCTCCCATATTTCTGTACACTCAAGCTTTCCTACAATCAGCAGGTAGTTTCCTTGAGGTGGGACTGCAGATGAAGCGACATTATGAAAGCAAGGCAAACTAATGTGCACTTAATAATCCATCCGGAACCGGAACGTGCTGATTATGACGTTGCACCAGTTGGCGATTAATTGACTGTGCATTAAAAGCTACCTACTGTTTTCTTTTCCCAGGAGAACCCGCTCAGTTCGACCCAACGTTCAATGGACCCATGAAGAAAAGGTGAGTCTGTCTCATTAGCAACTGGTTGTTTCCCGCTGAACAATTCCCTTTTAATCCCCAAACCCTCGGGCGAGCGGTTTCTCTGTTTACCAACTCTCTCGTGACTGAAAGAATCACACCCGTCGGCCCCCGAGGCCAGAAGCCCGCTCACTATAACCTGTCGCTGTCTCTCCCTTCATCAGAGGATGCACGGATATAATCTGCTGCGTCCTGTTCATGGCGGTCGTCCTCGGCTACGTGGCAGTCGGGATTTTAGGTGAGAACGACCCCGACAGTCGGCCATTCATTTCCATCCTCTTCTCACTGGGCCACTCCTTTTTCCCATTACCTTTTGTAAAAGGAACAGGACATGAACGGCAACATTTCCGTGTCCATCAGGTTTTTTTTTTAATGAATTAATTAAACACTAAAATTGTGAACAGGAGAAAACTAGCCGACTATCTTCCCCGGGCAGCTCCCCTAAAGCTCACTGATGAACACATTTGGTCTAGTTTGTCTAACACCTACAAAAAACGGAAGTGTAAAGACAGTTAGTCATTGTACCACAGTGACTTCCTGGAACACTTTTTACAACTGTCAATATTTCAAAATCCAGTTGCTCTATTTAAACGGCTAAAAGGTATTGTTTGTCTCTTTGACCTCACGCTGAGGTCTCAAATCTCCAGCACTCCACAATTTGTCCCGAGCTAACACGATGCTCATCAGTCTTTTTAAAATAATCCAATTTATTGTAATTCTGGATACCTCTTCTATGGATTTTTGTCATCAATCCTCATCATATAGATAGATAGATAGATAGTATTGTTATCATTTAGGAGCAGCTTATCTCCATGCGATCATCCAATCAGCAGCATTTTATTGCCTCGGCAAAGTCATTCCAACACTCCTTCCCCTTTCTCCTATCTGATTACTGATGCGTGTCCCAAATAATCCGGTACTTGTTTCAATGGAGGTCGATCATAAGCAAGTTTCATTACCTCAGAAGAAGAGAAATCCACTGGGAAGTTACAACAAAAAGAGCTGCATTTACTAAATAATTTACTATAGTACATGTATCTAATGTAAACTGTAATGTGCGTCCTGTCAGGCTGTTGTCCCGGCTTGTGAAAGGGCTGAAATAATTATTTCATTTGTAGTGTTTATGTCTTTTAATACAACAATCACTTGCAAAACCCTTTTTATAGCTCAAATTACTACTTCAACAATTTGAGCTATATTGCCACTGCAAATGTTTTTGACATTGTTAATAAGTTAAAGGTGTTAACAAATGATTTGTGACCACAATCTAAGTATAACACTGTTCAAATGTTGGGCAACAAGTTGATAAATAATGACACAATTGCTTAAGAGTTCGCTATAACACCAGAATCCCCCCCACGTCTTTCTTTGCTCAATAAATGGCACATCTCTCCCCTAAAAGCACAATAAAAGCAGTTTTATTTTCTGTTAAGTATAAAAATGCACATAACTGAGGATTAATAATTTGATCTCTATATATATATATATATATATATATTTAATGTAAATGGCTTTTCTCTGTGTGTGTTTCTATTAGCTTGGCTTTTTGGAGATCCAAGACATGTTCTTTATCCAAGAAACTCAACTGGGTGGTTCTGCGGCATTGGACCAAATAAGTAATTCATTCTATCTTTTGCCTTTTTCACATCATTTGTTTTTTACATGTACTAGATATAATGAATATGTGTTTTTTGTATTTAAACAATTCTTTCTTCCTGCCCTCTCTCCCTCAGAGGCCGACCCAACCTGTTCTACTTTGACATTGTTAAATGTGCCACATCTGCTAACGCTATGGCAACGGCCCTTAATGGGTTTCAGTGTCCAACCACACAGGTAGTAAAGGCTACTCTGATTAAACAAAACTATTATCCAAACTTTTCCAGTGTCTCTTTATTAATTTTTTATTTTTTTTTGTCCCTTAAAGGTGTGCGTGGCCAGCTGCCCCACTGGGTTTGGGGCTGTGGGAATACTGTCATATGGTCAAAAGCCAGCAGACGTTTTCAATCAGAGCCTCTGTGTTCCGTCCATACAGCTGGCGACCACCGACAAGGCGAGTCCCATGCGGTTGCCATGTGGGAACTTTCAACGTCTGCAGTTTAATCAGCAAAAGTACCCTCACACTTCAATCAATTCACCTGTACATTATTCTTAAAACATATGTTTTTTTTCTTTTCAGACTGTCAAAGAAATTGTGGACAAGGAGCTTTGTCCTTTCTTCTACATGCCCACGACCCCTGGTGAGTAAAACCACTGCACTCAAACACATCATGTCCATATTCATTTGTGTCTGACGATGCATTTGCCCTAAAGGCTGGTGGTGAGTTTAATGCAGCTGCTCGTTTGACGCGGCTGTGGGTTTAACCACTAACGAACAGGAACTACGCTGTTGGTTTGTACCAGTATAATAAAATGGATGATCAACCCATTTCAAGATAATATCATCTTCTCTACCATCAGTGCTGGGTAGATGTTTGCCCGACATTTCGGCACTGGGGAGGATCCCTTCAGAGTTTTCTAATATTCCCGGATTACCCTCCATCAATGACACAGTCGACCTCATCAAGAACGGCACGGGGTAAGATGGATCGGAGGCCTGGTCTCCTCATGTGTGGATTTATAGCAAATATTCATTCAGCACCCTGTCTTGAATCAAAGATTGCGCATATGGAGACACGCGCGCTCTTTTAATAAGCCTGTTTCTTTCGCCTCCTCCTCCTCATCTCCAGCACAGGGTCAGTGGTTTTGTGAGTTTTTGTGTTGAGGATTCGTGTAGCAGTTGGTGGTAGTTGCTCTCGCCGCCTTCAATGTCATGTATAACGTTCTCTTGGGACTCTTCTGTGTGTGTCTGGGTTAAAGCTCTCTTTTTAGCGCACTAGCCTTTTACTCAACGCGGCCTTTGTAGCTTCCTTCAGATTTGCATTGAAGCTGTTTCCATTATTACTGTGTGTGTGTGTGTGTGTGTGTGTGTGTGTGTGTGTGTGTGTGTGTGTGTGTGTGTGTGTGTGTGTGTGTGTGTGTGTGTGTGTGTGTGTGTGTGTGTGTGTGTGTGTGTGTGTGTGTGTGTGTGTGTGTGTGCTCATAAGGACATTAGTCTGAGAACGGTTCCCAACGTGGCTTGTCCTTGTTTTTTCTCTTCAACAGGGACATTGTGGGTGGATTTAATGCCAGGGACATTGGCGTCCGCATCTTTGAGGATTTCGCGTCGTCATGGCCGTGGATTCTCCTGTGAGTCGCCTTGACGAAACTCCGCAGCACCTTCACTGCCACCTGTTGGCAGAAATACAAATGACTCTTAATGTGAATTTTCGGTATAAAAGGAGCAACATGTATGACTTTTACAATTTGATAATTTATGCACTGACTTCTTTAATGTCTTTGTCTCCCCTCTCAGTGGTCTGGTCATAGCAATGGTGGTCAGCATGCTGTTCCTGTTGCTGTTGAGATTCACTGCGCCGGTGATGGTGTGGGTGCTCATCGTAGGAGTCCTGGGTGCTGGGGCATATGGTAAACACTCCACCGGAGCACTTTGCCCCAGACAATGTCAACTCAGAAGTTCTCGTCTGATGTGCTCTAAACAGTCTATCTGTCATGATAACTGTTCCTCTATAAGTGAGAGGTTTCGTTGTGTTTCTCTCTCAGGTATATGGCACTGCTACTGGGAATATGATAACTACAAGAAAGACTCGGCTACCATCAGTAACATCGGTTTCACCACCAATTTCAACGTTTACCTGCATGTCCAAGAGACCTGGCTGGCGTTCTGTGAGTCGCCAACATCACAAAACAGTTCTCTAAACGTGGAGCTGCGTCTTTTTACTTCAGTGGTTGGTGGCCGTGGGGCTGGTGGATACAAAGATCAGAATAAATAAGCCGATTAACTGCGTAGACAGTGTTTTGACTGGGCTTCTACCCCAGTACAGGAGAAGTGAGCGTTGTAAAAGGGAGATAACCAATGATATCATAAATACTGAGTCATATCCACATCCCATAAATAAATGCAATAAAACCCTTGTTGGTATACGCACGTGTCCCATTTATAACACTGGTTGATTCATGATACTGGTAATTGATAACACTGATTTAAGGATTGCTGCTGGACAGAACTGTAGTTGTAGTTTACGCTGGATATTTGCTCTGTGTCTCCCCCCTCAGTGATCATCATATCTGTGGCGGAAGGAATCATTCTGCTAACCATCATCTTCTTGCGCACAAGAATCCTCATCGCCATCGCCTTAATCCAGGAGTCCAGCAGGTGAGGCCGTGTTCATGACACACCTTACGCTGTCTCTGTCCATAATCTTACTGGGGATTCATTTAGATCTTAATCTGGTCTATTTTTAGTTTCTGTGACAAGTGCATATGGCCTTGAAATAACCCTGTAGGTTTTGTGTTTGTTTACAACAGGGCAATCAGTCACATGATGTCCACTCTGCTCTACCCTCTGGTCACCTTTGTTCTCCTGCTGGTGTGTGTGGCTTACTGGGCCGTCACTGCTCTGTATCCTTTCATTTTATGGATACATATGTGTTTGCGTACATGTTAATTACCCAGTGTACCGCGTGCTGCTTTAGACTATTGGTAAAATGTTTCTGCAACAACTCTTCCCCCATTGTATGCTTTTATTTTTTCCCCTCTACCATCACTTCTACCTTTTTGCTTAAAGTGACGAATGTAGATATTTGGCCACTTCGGGGGGACCGATATACAAAGTGGTGGCTCTAAACTCCACTCTTGACGACTGTAAGAAAATCAATGGCTCTGTGACCTGTGACCCTCAGGTGAGTGGGCAGGACAGGAACACCGTGTGCATGAGCATGGTGTCCTACAGTGACGGGTTCTCATAAACGTTCAGTTTGAGTTGGCTGTTAGCTGCCAAATCACCATCTTTAACCACCGTAATGTACCAATATTAAATGACTAACCATCTAGAAAAGGTCCATACCACCTGTTCAATCAACAGAGGCGATGTCCGGCAAGACTAAAAGCCATACTGTCGTTGCTCAGAAGCATTTCTCGCCCACTGGACCTTCTCACTTCTCGTACGTTTCTCCCCCTCGCAGGACTTCAACTCGACTGACTACCCAGGCTGCCCCTCAGCCAGCTGCATCTTCATCAAGTACAACGACGAGGGGGTCTTCCAGAGGAACCTCTTCAACCTGCAGATCTACAACGCCGTGGCTTTCCTCTGGTGTGTCAACTTCATCATCGCCTTGGGGCAGTGCACGCTGGCGGGGGCCTTTGCCTCCTACTACTGGGCCTTCACCAAACCAAATGACATTCCCACCTTTCCCCTGAGTGCCAGCTTCATACGATCACTCAGGTACGTTCATGAGCTGTTCATTGGTTAAAGGTCTGCAAGAATAAAAGTGTCCGTCCCTCCCAGAAGTGACCGAACAAAGGACTGCCTGTATTCTCAAAGGTGTCGCGTTCTGTATCTTTGTCGTCTGGTAATTCTACTGACGTGATGACATTCTATCCCACAGAGGGTTACGCTTCTTTTTGTTCTTTTTATCCACATGTCATGAGAGGACGCAGTAGACCTGCATATAACAGTTTGTGGAATGGGGCATGATCATTTTGTACACTTCAGGTACCATGTGGGCTCTTTGGCATTCGGCGCTTTGATCCTGACCCTGGTGCAGATAGCCAGGATGATTCTGGAGTACATTGACCATAAGACTAGAGGTAAGGCAGACCTGCCCTCATCTTGTATTCACTGTCTGCGTTACCTTCGCAAATCAGTTGTGTGTGTGTGTGTGTGTGATGGCTACCTAACATGTCTTGGTGGTGTCCAGAGGCACAGAATCCATGTGCACGATTCGTACTTTGCTGCTTGAAGTGCTGCCTCTGGTGTCTGGAGAAGTTCATCAAGTTCCTCAACAGGAACGCTTACATCATGGTAAGCAAAACGTGTCATAGTTTTTACTATGGCAGTGTAGCTCAGTACTGTCAAAAAGGGACAGTGCAAAAAATTCAGAATTTTTATATTGATTACTTTTTCCTGGATAATATTTATATTATGTAAAACATTTTTCCCTAAAAAAATAAGTTGATTTTCCTCAACAGATTGCAATTTATGGGAAAAACTTCTGCGTCTCAGCCAAAAATGCTTTCATGCTGCTCATGAGAAATGTAGTAAGGTTTGTGGTCTTTTCATACTAAAGGACTTGCAGTCTGTCTTTTTAATGCTAGCTGGCTGCATCTAGTCTGACCTGTTTGTAACATGAATATATTTCCATGTGATGGAGACTCTGCCTGCATGTCCTCTCAGGGTCGTGGTGCTGGATAAAGTGACAGACCTGCTGCTGTTCTTCGGGAAGCTCCTGGTGGTCGCCGGCGTGGGTAAGGATGGCGCCACGCGTCGGGGCTGGGTTGCACTTGGGAAAGGCCAATAAGCATTCAGATGACCGTACCAGGGAGGAAGAGAGACTGAAATCCCCTTCTTGTTTCAGGCGTGTTGTCCTTCTTCTTCTTCTCTGGGCGAATATTGCTACCAGGCAACACCTTCCGCTCTGAAACGCTCAACTACTACTGGATGCCAATTATTGTAAGTTACCAATGGTTATCCTCCATTTTATTTAAGTAATAAAAATTTGGTCTTATTTTCCTTTTCCTTTGCAGACGGTGGTGTTTGGCAGCTACCTCATAGCTCATGGATTCTTCAGCGTGTACAACATGTGTGTCGATACGCTCTTCCTCTGCTTCTGTGAGTAATGTTTACCGAGTGCTGATATGCGCATGATCATTCATATCGACACAGAAATACTGCCAATACAAGAGGGTTTTTGATTGTGCTAACGTGTAGTTAACAGCCTTTTAACATTTAAAGAAGAGGCACAAAACAATTGGCTGTTATACGATACAGAAGCTCTCGTTTCCTTACTTTATTCAATCTTTCCTCACAGTGGAGGACTTGGAGCGCAACGATGGATCCATTCAGAAGCCGTACTTTATGTCCAAAAACCTCATGAAGATCCTCAACAAATCCAACAAAGGACAAAAAAAGGTTAAAGGGAAGGACTGAAGATTTTTACCTTTTTTTTTTTTTTTAAACCGTTGACAAACTTTTTTTGCACTTTCTAATTCTTGTTTTGTTTGTGGATGTAGTATTAATGACTAAGAATGTGAATGCAGGTAGTGGGACATTTTAAGTTGCAAGGTATCTGATGGTTTATTTCATTTAATCAGATTTTCTTTATTCGACTGTTCTAAAATTTGTATTTTAAAATGTGTTCATAAGCCTCAACTAGTGCAGTGCACATTTGACCGCTTATCCAGTTAAAGGCTTTTAGTGCAGTTAAGATGTGTTTTCCACCGTTTGGCTGAAATTCTTCTCTGTAAAACGAAAAAGTTCATTTCAGATTTTTATATATATGTAATTTATAAATACGTAACATTTGTATAACCACAATAAAGATATTAAATAAAGTTTTACTATTGAACCCTCAATGTTTCGCTTTTATTGTGTCCAGAAAGTAAAGTCTGGTAATAATTGCACACAGGGGCAAATCCGGAGGCTGGAGTCTATCCCAGACCGGGTGCACCCTGGATTGGTCGCCAGCCAATGGAAGGGCCACACAACCATTCACACACCTACGGGCAATTTCGAGTCCCTGATCCCCAGAGCATGTCTTTGGACTGTGGGAGGAAACCAGAGAACCCACGCAGACTCCACACAGAAAGGCCACTGGGCGGAGTCGAACCCAGGACCTTCTTGCTGTGAGGCGACAGTGCTGCCCACCGTGCTGCCCGTTCCAGATCTATTATGGATTAATTAATGAAAGACGCAGACACTTTTTTAAAAATATTGAAATGCTTAAGTGATGACAATACAAAGCAATGTTTAAATTAAGTTTTAATCTCCTACACCATTTGGTTTTGCACAACAGCTTCAGATTTAGTTGGTCAAATCATGACTTCTCGTTTCAGTGTCACGCAAGATTTATAATACAAAGTGTAGCTGGAACAAACGAGTATACAATGAGTATGAAGCTCCAGCAGCCATCCAGTCCATCCCGTCATTCATCACTTCTACCTCTACCTAACAATTGTACACATGAAGGTGTTCAGATTGTGGGGAGTATTACTGGTGTTAGGAAGCCTTTTCTTACTCCAGTAAGATGCACGAAAACTGCACATAACTTTGTTTAGGGTTCAAAACTTAAAACCCGGAGGAGAGTGAGAAGCTCTTGATGGTTTAGTTCTCAATGAATGTGAATCGCTTTAGTTTTAACTGCTTCATCAAGTTCATACATTGAGACAGATCACCGTTTGTCAGCTAGAAGACAGAAAACCTCATTAAATCACATTAGCAGGAAAGGACAAACTTCACCCTCATAACATTAATTTGAATGAATGAGAAGTGTTTGGGGCTGGAAGCCTTTTGACTCAAAAAGGAATTAGTGAAACACCAGGAAGATAATTTCTCATTTTACAAAAGCATCTTGAGGCCCATCGATTCACCCTATGTGGTGTGTCATCCACTCAGAAAACACTTACAGCTTTTACAATATTCATATATACAAATATATGTTTACACTCTCCACATACAAATCAACTGACAAAGTTCATTCCTGTAAATTCTCTGTGCGTGACTAACTGGAAGGATGCGGCTCACTGGTCACTGCCGTCAATGCGAGTTGTGTCTACTTTATTTTTATTTTTTTGGAAATGACCAACCTGCGTGCGTCAGATTGCATTTTGCTCACTCAAGTTGCTGCGAAAAGCGCCAACAGGCCCTTTAACGGTTCACCCGTCCACCTTTGTACAGCTCTGTGAGGAAAGACAATAAGTGGTTACACACACCAGCACGCGCTGCGATCTTTAGGACAGCTCCGTCTACAAAAGACTTCACAGTGCAATGGCAGGTTTGTTAAGACATGTAGATAAAAATAAAAAAATGCATCCACCTGCGCTATTTCTCTCTGCCCAAGTAACTAATCCTGGGGGGGGGGGGTACTCGTTTTTCTCCTCCCGCCGAAATCCAACCTGACAGAGCAGCTATTCTTTGGCCTTTGGGGAGAAGGTTTAGTTGCTATAGCAACAAGTACGTACCCATTCCCCTCCCTTTCTTCCCAGTTTCAAACCCCCACAACATGCCTCTTTTAGAGGAGAGAAATGCGGGAAAAGAGTTAGTGACTGCCTCTTATTATTATTATTATTATTATCTACCCACCTTTAAAAAAAATCTTCACCCCCTAATACTGTCTCTGAAACCCAACAGGTAGTTTTCTGTATGTATCTACAGGTGCCAAAATAACTTAATTGGGGATTTATGCACCACTATTCTCTAGTGTCTCTTGCATATCTTTGCATAAACAAAAACAACAAAGCAGGCGGGTGGGGCCGAGAATCCTAAGGAGAACGTGCCAATGCCAGGGGGGGGAACCCAAATATCAGTTGCAATATATACAGACTGCATTTTTATTTGGGATCAAAGAATCCTATGCTCTCTCCCAAGTCTGTACCTACTAGGAAATGTGTGTGTGTGTGTGTGTGTGTGTGTGTGTGTGTGTGTGTGTGTGTGTGTGTGTGTGTCTCTCAGTAGCTTGAGTTTAGTGTGTGAGAGAGGGAGAGTCTTAAATTGACTTTATTTGCGCTCCTCGATTGACCCGTCCATCCCCCCCGGCGCGTCTGCATCACACGCTCAGGAGCCAGAAGAAGAAGAAGATGGCCACGAACAGGAAGAGGGAGTCTTGCCAGTTGTTATTTCCGTTGTTATGGTTACTGTTGCCTTGGTGATCGCCTGCATACTGGTCTGTCACGGAGGGGGAGATTTATCACTAACGTTAGTTATTTAGACCTTTGAGTGACTTTCACCCTGGAGGGAAAGAACCGTGCACGTTTACCTGCTCTTTGAAAGGGGTCGTTGGCGTTAAAGACTGTGGTGAAGAAGCCGAAGGGGAACGCACCGATGCCGAAAGACATGTGAAAGCCAGTGTCCCCAAAACCCTGAAACATCTGACAGAAATCAAAGAAAGTATGAAAAACAACACAAACAAGACAACATTGCGAATGGGAGCTTAAAAACAGCGGACGTGAATCGACTCACCCCTCCTCGACCCTCTGGCTCCGTTCTCTGTCCCGGAGGCCGAGGTGGCGTTTTTAACCTGAACAACCAGAGACGGGACAATGATCACAAGGCAAACCACGAGGCTCTACCAGAAAATGTGTTCACACAGAGGCAGGCGCGTACCGGGGGTCCTCCTGGCTGGAGCTCCCTCGGCCGTACAGCGGGATGACCTTCTCCCTGCTGATGCCCGCTTTACACACAGGACACTGCTGCCTGCTGGGTCGCGTCTCCAACCACTGGGAGGGGCAACAGGGAGGAATATTATTCAAAACAAATCAGATGAACCCCGTTTCTACTGGCTAAATACTGGGGTTCAGTAAAACTTAAAATTCTCAAACATGGTTGCAATCATTTTTAATCCCTACTGGCTACATGGAAAGCAACGTACAGAGTGGTGGAGAAAGAGCTGCAGTAAACAGGCATTAAGTCCATAAGCATGCTTAGGCCACATTTACACATATTTACAGAAACAAATATTTCTGCCCCTCAGTTATCAAAAAAGTTTCTGTTTATATGAACCCGCATAAATACGGCCCCGGACGCCATCATAACTATGCCAAACCTGTAGTCGGCAGTGTAACGAGAAGGATACAGACATGCAAACCAATCAGAATTCTCAAAACCAACAACAAGTCGCATACTGTGACGTTTGACAACCTAAAACTCTGTTGGACCTTGTTCACACGCAAACACAAAAACAGAGTTTTCAGAAATTATCGTTTTCCGTGATAAAACCTCCGTTTTTGTGTAAATGAAAGGCCAAAACGCATGAAAATATATGCGTTTTCCCATCGTGTAAACGGGGTCTTAGTCTGCACCAAGTCAACCAGAAAGTGTGCGTCCTCGCGGAGGTCACAAACACGTACGTTTACATTTAGGTGGACTTGCCGCGAAGTTAAAAAGCCCAATTCACACAGCTCTGTTCCCTTACGGAGTCAGTTTAGGTTAGATCTTTTTTTTTATTTTATATAAAATCAATCATTCCTTTAAAGGAAAGTCCAAAAATTGTAATGGGAATTAATTTCCCAAAAGCCAGAGGTTTTCAAACTATTTACTTTCAGTGCAGCAATTAACTACAAGCAACTAATCTTTATAAGTTACTGTAAAAACAGGAAATACACGTGTTGGTATTTAACGAGTCTTATACATAGAAACAAGGGTGACGTAACAGAAGAAATACTCACTTGATGAAGACAGGGCCAGCTGTAGAGACAGAGACAAACGATTAATGAGCACGCTCACAAAACAGCTCTCAGCCATTTGAAAACAATATCAAAACAAATAGAAATCATATGAATCAGATCGATCTCGATGGTGTGTGTGTGTGTGTTCTTGGTAAATCCTCGTTAAGCCCATCTGGGCAGGTGGGCTTCTGTACCCCCAACGAGGTGGCTGACTGAACCCCCTCCCCCATCGTTAGCATTAATTGGCTCCAGCTGTTAAGTGTGATTGTGTTGCCGCCGGCAACCTGCTGCTGCTGCTGCAGCATTGTGGGAGTGCAGGTCTGAAGAAAATGTTGCGGTAGTTCTACCTCTTAAATAGTTCTAACCCTTTATTCCAACTCGTCAATTAGTGTCATGAACGGTTCCAAAAAAGGTTAAAAATTGGCTTCATTTGTATTTGCTGAGAATAACTATAGATCCACTGCAGCGTAGCACCCTTTTTTTTTGGTCTGACATTCCTTGCAACACTAACTTCAACAGCAAAGTAACAGATTATGCAGAGGCACAGGTCCAACTCGTTTAACACACTTTACGTTCTGTTAGTTGTGAAGGACTAAACAAAAACAAAGTGACACACACACACACACACACACACACACACGGTTAACATAACAACCATTCAACTGTGATTTAACATGTGGCCACACGTACAGCCCGGCTCTTGTGACCCAAAAACGACTTTGTGGTTTCCGATCAGAGGCTCAGCATCCACTCAGCAACGCGTGGGTGCAGAGAGTACGAGCAGACCCGTTACCCCTTCGGAGCCACTAAAGTCCAATCGTCAGAACAGCTAATTAAAAGAACACAAACAGAGTGGATTGAGGTCTAGTTTCTCACCCGTGATCTTAATCGTGTGCCTACATGGACTGCAGTAATATTTTGCCACTTCTAATCCCAAATTGAAAGTTTCCAAAAATTTTTTTTTTTTTTAAAGGCAAAAACAAGTAATAAGAACAGAGATACATTTACACATGAGCAGAAGAGTCATGGCTGTTTTTTAAGTATCAAATTCAAAAGTCTTTTTTTAATCTCTGTTAAAGCAGAGCGGCGTACACACATTTCAGACGCCAATAACGGTTTAAAAGTTGGATAAAACCTGAATATGGTCCGTTTACACACAATGGATATGGAGGCAATTTATGATATCAAGTTGCAATGCTGATCTAAAGTTGCAGCAGGGCGTCAACAACTTCCTTGCGGATAGTTTCAGCACAGTTTCATCACGTTACACGGAAGATGGGAGCGACGAGGGGGGACAAGTATCATAGCAACCAAGTTACATCAGCTCAACACAGGAGCTCCAACGCTACTGCACGAGCGACACTGAGGGGAATCTCTGTCATCAAACAGAACTGTGGTCTTGTGTGCTTTTAAGATTTTAAGTTGTGCTTTCCTTCGTGCCTGGCTTACTGCTCCGTGTTCAGGCGCACTGCGGTGAATCAGAGCGACTCCCGTTGGTCATGGCTAAAAGTGTCAAATTTGAAAAGTTAGTCCAAAATCAAATCTAATGTTTGCCGTTTTCAAATGGAAGACAAATGAAAGAATTCACACTTTGGGCTGTCTGTGACAATTTATAAATATTCAAGGGTATGACATTCAAACTTCTGTTTAGTTTAAGCTATGTGACCGCTTGTACACGACGGGCTTCTGCAGTTATAAACATTGTGTGCGCACGCTTGTTCAAGATTTCTTTTTCTAGGTTTTTGTTAATCTTCACTGATCAGACCCCCGTACATAAATTATTTTCTTATCTTCCTAAACAAACTTCAACACCAGTTTCTTTCCAAACCACACGGGCACCAGAGCGCATTCCAAACTGCTTTAGGTTTTCTTCTGTTAGACCGGCGGATAACTGCCCCTTAGGTTCAACAACAATCCCAATCTCTTGGCTCTAATCTCAGGTCGCAGCGAGGACGGACGTCACTCAGCACGAATGAGCAGAAAGGGTTTGACGGTTGGGCCACATGCAACGCAGGATTAAAAAACAGGAGAAGGGACTAAAAGCGCTTCTCTGGATTAAATATACTTTCCCTTCTAAGTCTACAAATTGATCTCATTTTAATGATATATTGCGTTGATGGGTCACAGCCTTAATTGTAACGCATCATGTGCTGAAATATGGCTGCGGTTTCTATCAACTGTCAATTTAGTTCATACTGGAAGAACATTGTGGAAAGATCTTTTGATTACTTCTACTAAACATAAACAGTTTGAACTGCCTGAGAAAGGCTGATTGTCAACATGATCATGTTGATCAGTTTTACCTGGACGTTAATGCGTCCCAGAGTGACCTTTGACCTGCATCAGACGATCAAGCGGAGCCTCCTAAACGGTGTTCAGCCACATCTTATCTGTCAGCTCGTGGAGCCTAAAACCATCTGCGGTTAAACATAACACGCGGTCTCTTCCGTTGTCACCGGACGAGCGTCAAAACGCGCATTATTGGCCGCAGTGCCGCCGTGAAACGAAGCAGACTGACGCAACCGGAGGCCGCAACGACACAGCAGCCGGACACAAACAAAAACAACGTCCTCCACACGCGTCACAAGTCCCCCGCCCCGCCTCGTACCAGAACAAGTGGCCGCACATACTGATGACCGCGTCCCTGGCAGTGTCCAAACAAATGTTGCACTCGAAGGTGGCTCGGTCCCGCTCCCGTTCGCCCTCCCCGCCGCCGCCGCCACTGCCGCCCGGGCCATCGCGGTCATTGCTGCTCTCCCCGGCCGGGAATCCTCCTCTGGTGGCCGGCCCGCCGTCACTCGAGGACCGGGGATCCGCGGCCGCCATAATGTTTACCGCACAGGTGGGGAAGGTAGCGAACTAGTCCAAACCCTGGCGGGCCCGACCCGAGCTATAGTTAGCTGTCTGGAGCCGACGAGTGTCACGCGACCGACGCTGCTGCACGGAGCTTTAACGGGCTGCTGCTGCAGTCGCTCCGCCTGAAGGACGACTTCCGCTTCCGGTAAAAACACGGGCGAGGGGCGGGGAAAATATTGTCCCCCCTTTATTGTAAGAAAATATATTGTTACAGAAATACTATTTAATGGGGTTTTATTGCTTCTTCTATTTTGTATTACGAAGAAAAGAAAAAAATCACATCAAACTGTTTTATGTGACCGTGGATCTCAAATGTGTTATCAACATGTATCACCTGCACTAAAACAACACAATGGAGGCCTCTGATTGCAATGACAGCACAGCAAAGCCGATGAGGAAGAATGTGAAGAGACAACTTGTTTGCTTGTTTCCAACTTGGAGTGAAAATTCATTTTAGATCCATCACACACAAATAACACTACAACATAAATGCTGTAAATTCTGACTGAATTGTATGTATCTTCTGCGCCAATAGCTGCTACAGCTGTCAAATAGCTCTTGAACTGATTTGATATCTACTCACACTGCTGCACCAGCAGCTTAATGAGAGTCCCTCTGACTTGTTCATTCGTTATGATAATGAAAGTTCGTGGCGTAAAACCAACGTATGTACACTAGTACAATATGAAATAAATACCCTCAATTGTATATCAGATTTTTGACGCTGTCACGGTGAAGCGACATGTGGCTGCATGCTGTCCCATTCATATTTACACCATTTCAAGACCTCACAGACTCTCATGCTCAACCCCATAGCAATACCAAGTCTCTGGGGGGTCAGGGGTCAGGGTTTAAAGGGGGGCATTGGGATTGGGCCCAAGTGTACAGCAGCAGGAACATTTCATTTACCACAGAGTTCGGAGGGTCTGCTGCTTATATGGGTTTCAATCCATCCTTATTTTAATGTCTGATGGACATAAACGCAATTCGGCACAACACCGGAACCATCGTCGTGCATCTTGTTTCCGCCCGGAGTCTTGAGAAGAAGGCACGACACGCGTGTTGTGTACGTCGGAAATGTCCACGCTGTAGCATCAGACGGGGATCATTTCAAAATGATTACGAAAGATTCTTCCGCGTAATTTGAGAAAAATCCTCTTCGACTGCGACGGACATTTTAACGTGCGACACCGACACAAAGGTCGAGAAGTAGAAGCTCTTCTACTTCACCCACCGGTCACCATGGGGCTCAAGCGACAGAAACTAGCCAAGAAAATCATAAACTTCTACAAATACAACTTCAGCTTCAGGGAACCCTTTCAGATCCTCGTCGATGGGACTTTTTGTCAGCTGGCTTTGAAGAACAAGATTCAGATCAAAGAGCAAATGCCCAAATACCTGATGGGAGAGGTGAAGTTGTGCACTACAAGGTGAGTAACTGAGATCTACACTCAGTTAAAGTGCAGGTTACACGTCACGTTCTAACATCCCAGTATTTCATCTCTGAGCTCAGCTGTGCGCTGAAAGAATTGGAGATTCTGGGAGGCGATCTGTATGGAGCCAAAATCATCCTGCAGAAGTTTCAGCTGAGGAGTTGTCCGCATTTCAAGAAGCCCGTTCCGGCCTCCCAGTGTCTGCTGTCCATGCTGGGGGAGAGCAACCCTCACAACTACTTTGTTGCCACACAGGTAAATATGATGACACGCACTCACACTCACAGGGGAAATGAGAAATAATGTCTTTGTTGTTGGAAACTACTAACTGGGAGATTCAACTGGGCGCCCGTTTTAAACTGATGGAGACTAATACAACGTTAGGGCTGTCTAATTACATTATACGTTGTTATTAATATGAATATGTATCCCGCATGAAGTGGAAAATGAATATAAGCTCACATGTTCGAACTCTGCAGCATAAATCTCATTAATAAAGACTTGCTGCCATTTAAATATCAGAAGGAATAGCATTGTAATCACCTACAGGTCTTAAGAAGAGAAGTTCCTTAGGGCAAACTAGGATAGGGCTAAATAAGTGCTGTGTAAGTAAACTAAATGTAAGTTTGCTGCGGTTGCGTGTTTTCTCCAGGACCGCTCATTAACCGAAGGCCTGAAGAGGATCCCTGGCGTTCCCCTGCTCTACATCATCTCTAACACCATCGTGCTGGACAAGGTCTGCCAGACGTCCCTCGACCACGTCCGGGCCGTCCAGCTGGGAGAGCTGGTCAGCCCGGCCCAGCAGCAGAGCATCACCAGCCTGAAGAAGGAGCAGGGCATCGTCCAGAAGGACGGAGAGCGGCGGGGGAGGAAGAGGAAGAGGAAACAGAGCAATCCGAACCCCCTGAGCTGCCTGAAGAAGAAAAAGAAAAGCGGGCCGACGCCGCCGAAGAAGACTGAGGAGGGGAAGAAGAGGAAAAGAGTTAGAAACAAGAAACCAAGCACGGCAGGAGGAGACATGCCTGCTCCTGCAGTTACAAATGCGTAGCGGCAGGAACAGACATTGGAACATTAGTTTCTTTCCTGAGTGTTATTTTATTATGTCCACGTTCCCACTCTGAAATAATTGGTTTGTTTTTATAATGTTGTTGCATAAAATAAACCAATGTTCATCACACAAATTGCAATTTCAAAATAACGCTCATGGTATTTATTTTATTTAGAAAAATGTTTTTGACAGTTCCCAGGACGTACAGGCACAGGACTGGAACTGCTGAGGAAGTTATTTTGGAGATCCGAAGATTTGTCTTGGCTTTTTATACAAAATGAAAAGGCAGGTTCACCGGCACATAGTTTAGAACATGAGAAGCACTCGGACATCACGTGATGTACATTTTATATGGAAGTGGATATAAAAAGAAACGCATGCACCTGTTTTGTCAGTGGTCTGCTTGTTTTTACTGAACGCTGTGTAATGTCGGCTAAATTGAAGCCATAGTATTTTTTTCTTTCCGTTTATAGTCCAAACGACAACGTTCACAACATTTGTTCATTCAGACTTCACTTGATTGTTTTATCAAGCCATTTTTTACATTATAAATCCATTTGGTCTTTAAATGAATTCTCATAAATTATATATATATATATTACATCAATACATTTATATTGATTAAGTATCTCGTTGGTTTACACAGGGAGGAATTCAATGCATATATAAAAGGGACACTGAATAAATAAAAAATCTGTCCCGAACTTCAAGTCTTCAAGTAAGAATAAAAGAGCAACATGGTTGTAAAACTGTTATCGTCTGTAGCTGTTCCACTCTAAATGAACAGTGCATGCAACTAGTGCAGATCACTAATAACATCTGTTTTTAACATCTACACACTATATGCAGAAAATTACGCTCCTTTCTTTTTGTGTGGATTTGGAACACAACTATAGCTTTGTGCAAACAGTCGACGATGCAAGCCTTTGCAAAAACAAACACTTGGCTTTTGTAATGCTTGAAGTGCTCCGCTACAGTTGTACAATGGTTGGTGGCTCGGTGAACCTGCATATCACTACTGTAGTGACTGTTTAAATGTACTCTGGCATACTGGAAATAGTGCATGCTCCATTCTGCTAATGTCAGTGTACATTTTTTGCCTACAGTGGTGGGAGCGGTGCGGCTCCAAGTAGCACGGTCGATGGCGTGATCACTCCCACTTTGATAGTACTGTTTCTTTTAAATATACCATGGAAACGCAACGGCTTCTTGAGGAAAGTCAGTGACGTCGGCTCGAAAAACACGGAGTAGAAAGAAACTCCAAATGAAGAAGGAATGCAAAGTGCTCACTTTTTTTCCCCCTGGCTACGAGATTCGCTATAAATTGAGTTATGATAATAAAAGACAGGAAAAGTGCTCAGTATTTGATCCCCACTGTGGTATTTGTCACGAAAGAAAGCTCCTCAAAACTCAACCGTGTTATTCAGACATCTTTCCTCTCACCACTGATTGATACGTATAAGAAGACCAAACCTACGGAATATACACTAAGGAGTCCTTTTAAAGTAGTGTTTTTCTAGATGATGTGGAAGCGAGCTCCAGGCGTCGCTATGATGTCGCTGTAAGGCTCCTCCTGGACGAGCTCCACCGCCTGCTGCTTCTTCAGGACCAGGAAGCTGTAGAACTTAGCGGCTGCCTGCTTCTTATTGTTGTTCCTGCACAGATCCAGCAGGCCGATTGACTGGGAACCCGTTTTGGCCATCACCCTCTGTGGAAGGAGGAGACGGAGGGAATCAGGAACATGGTTTTTAAGTTACCGGGATCCCAAGTAGTTATTGTTCTGCTCCTGCTACTCTCTCTGCAGGCAGCAGATAATGAGCTGTGGGATACCAGGAACGTCTGTTGAACTCTTTAAGCCACACGTGGAACCACACAGGACCTCATCATTGGCAAAATGTGCAGGACTAAGTCATAATCTGTCATATCTGTAATGTGGAGTTTTCTTTTGTGTAATATTTTCTTTTATTATATTTACATTGTTTGGTCATGTCATGTCATTCCTACATTTGTGTAATATCAGACTCCTTTACTGTTTCATTCTGTTGACATAGTAATAATAATAGTTTTTCTATTTATACAAATACAAATTTAGACAATTTTAATGTCTTCTGCCTTCATTAAATATGGATTCTGATTTCAACATTTTGTCAACACTGAGAAAAGATTCATAGTCATGTGTGTTGCTGTTTGTTACCTTAAGATAATGAAGCTGAAAACATTTGGTGTGACTATTCTGACAAGTAGTCAAAAACAAGATATCATCATGTTCTTCCAACCAGCTGTGTACAAATACGCACCTGGAGGCCATGGAGCATCTGCTGGGTTCTTTTGTTCCACCTCCTCTCCTCCTGGTCTTGGTCTCCTCCCTGCACCTCCTCCTCCTGGAACAGAAAAGCACACTTACAAAGAGTACATATTTTATGCTCCAGGGCAGCATTAATATGTCTGTGTTCTGTTTTCTGACATACTCCCTTACAATGGTGTGAAAAAACGCTATAAAACAACATCAAATAGAACCACACAACGTCTGGTCCACTGGGGAAGTTTGCCTCGCCTCGTCATCCGAGTTGTCATCGTTCTTCTTCTTGTCCTTGTCTCCGAGCAGGTCCAACTCTATCATCTGGCTGATGTTGGTGGTTTCCTCTGGGGCCAGATCCACTCCGGCTGCTTCCAGCTGCTGGGACTCGTTGATTGGCTCCTGCGCTGGTTGTTGCTGGTCCAAAGTTCCCATCTAGATAAGAGAGTGAAGGAGGACGCACAGTTTGTGGGGTCCTGACATCTGATATGGAGGGAAATCCGAATTTTAAATCTACTTCAGTATTTGCAGACGGTTTGACTGAGGGGGACCTCTGAGCTCACAGGCAGGGCTGCTTCTGTGTCCTGGGCTTTGCGCTTGAGGCCACGTTGAGGGGATGGGGGGGGCATGACCGACTCGTCCAGCGTGGTCCTGCTGCCTTCCACAGCAGAAGTCTGCAGAACACTGGCCTCTTCCATGAGGGTCTGGTCTGGAAGGGAAAGAACAATTAGAGAAAAACTGTGCATGGACATTTCAACATGACCGTCCTCGATTAAGCACAAATGTGTACAAACAGCCATTTCATACCCATGATGTCTCTCTGCTGGTGTCCTGCTGTTTCCTCTCTGGGCACCTCCGGGTTCTCCAGATCCTTGAGGAACTCATCTAAACTGTCAGCCTCTCCACCTTTCCTCCTCCTCCTAAGCTCGTCTGGCACCAGCGGTGTCAGACACCTTGTGAACATCTGGAGTGGGAGAGCAAAGCGGTAGGAGGTGAAAGGTATGGTCCGTTGAATTCTTATCGCAGTGCTACTGAACACAATTCTCTTTTGGGTGCTTTACCTTCAGCAGCCTGTTATTCCAGAGGGGTTGGGCGGGGAGGGAGAACAGCTTCTCAACTCCTCCCGTTTCCTTCCACATCATCAGCTTCTTGGTGGGAGGGGCCAGGTCCAGCGTGGTGACAATGTCAGAGTAATCAGACAGCTGTGCACGGATGGTTTTACTGTCCAACTCCTTCACGCTGTCCACGATCAGCTTCCTCTTGCGCTTCGCCTTGGTCTCCTTCACTGCACGGCGCATCGGGCAGACGGAGATGAATCAGCACAGTAAACCGCTCTGAAGTTCAGGGAGTTCAGACTGAAGCCCGAGGAAAACGCAACGTCGTTTCTTAAAACCAGGTGCCCTCACCTGTGATGTCAATCGGCTCCAGGGCGAAGGTTTCTTCCTCGTTGTGAACCAGGCTGGTCTGTTCTGTCTGGTCTGCCGTGGCCGGCAGCGGCTTCGTTGGACCTGAATCTGGACTATCCGGAGCTCCCGCTAAGGACAGACAGTCCCACCATGTTGAGATACATCCAGTATGCAAGTGTTTTGTGATTTCAACTGTACGTGACCGGAGTGACTTTTACTGACCTGACAGTGCATCGAAGTCGTCGTCGTCGTCTCCGTGGTCCTGAGGCATCATCACACTCTCTGCGATGGCAGGGGGGTCGTCAAAGATGCCGTCGCCATCCTCGTTGCTCAGCAGCTTGTCCACTTCACGGAGAGGCGAGGTCATTCAGTCATTACTAGTATCACTGTTGTTATTAACAAATCCTATGACTCCGGTTTGAAAATATGGTTTTGCAGAATTGCTTCTGACAGTCTGGGCCTACAACATTGATAGCCTCTTACCAAGCATGCCCTCCTCATTGCTCGCGATGGGATTGTCTCCGAAGTCGTCCTTGTACTGGTCATCGTACTCCAGATGGTTGGACTTGTCAGCCATCGCGTTAGCTGCACCCTCAGCGTCCAGCAGCAGGTTGGAAGCCGACGCTCCCATGATGTCCACCTCAAACGAGCTCTCCTCCCGCATCATCTCACGGTCGTCCATGCCAAAGTCAGCTGCACGACAGAGACACCATGCAGAGAGGTATGTGGGCGAGTAACGGAAGTTACGCTGTCTTTTTAAAAGCGCTTCACAAAGACAACGTGTAGGACTGGAAGACATCTAGCAGTGAAGTTTCATATTGGAACTAAATGAAGCGTATCCCTCAAGAGAACTATGATGTCCTGGCCAGGGTTCCTGTGTTTGGTTTGTCCATTGTGGGCTGTGGTACAAACAGACTCAGACAGACCCTTTGTTGGTATAAATGTCTCCTTTATGAGGTTATGGAAATACTTGTATCACCTGTTAATGTTATCTTCCATATCTGCATGTAGATGGCACTTTAACTATCGAATGTGACTTAAAAAGATGCCTACCGAAGTCATTGTCCTGCAGCAGGTTTAGGTTGCCCACCTCCTCCCTCATAGTGATCTCCTCCACTCTGCTTTGGTTCAAGTTGAACTGCTGGGCAATGTCAATATCACTGAACAAAACACACTAGAGTCAATTCAAATGATATGTTTTGGCAAGATGTGGAAATAGATGAAATGTGTTCCTGAAATATTTGAATGACTTTCAGCAGTTATTTAGTCATGTGTGATGTGTGAAGTGCTTCTAAATAATCAACCTTACAGGCAGAAAACACTAGAAAGAAAAAATAAATATAATTTCTCTCTGCTATCCCATCCTGTCGGTCTGTCCCTTTCTCCAGACACTCGTCCATCCCTGGTCACCTGACTCACATCGAGCTGGAGCGGCTTGATGTTTCAGCCGTTCCCATCATGCCTTTCAGCTCTGTAGCTCACACACCAGCCCCCTTTCCCCACTCAGTTGAGTGGAAGTTGCTATGGAAGCTCTTCAGTTTATGGCTATAAATGATTATGTATGATGGCTTGTATGATTAGGAATTACAACACATTGATTGTAGAATAATGACATCAGTTGCTTGGGAGCTCGTACAGATTCTCAGCTGAAGGAAAATAATGTTCAATCATTTTCCATTCCATTAGATTTTATTCGCTCATTCTCAATGTGTTTTCAGTTTCTCCTGTTCCTCTACTTGGTTGCTTAGTGAACAAAGGCATACAAATCGAAGGAGAGAACAACAATGTCTATGTTTGGTTCAATTGAGTTCCTAGCACATCTCCCGCATTAGGTAGATAATGTAGAGCAACGGAGGACTTACTCCAGGTCTGGTAGTGGCTGGTCAAAGTCATGGAACTCCTCGGGCAGCGTGATGGCGTTGTAGGCTGCTTCTCTGTTCTCCTCTGGAAGATCTACCACGCCTGAAAGGCCACAATGTAGGAAGAGAGTTAAAGAGTGAGCCGTACCCCGAGTGGCAGAGATGAACCAGGGTCGAGTACATCAACGTGGATATGACAGTTTTAAGGAAGGTCCCGAGATTTGGTGGAAAAGTACAGAAAACCAAGAACAGATACAAGTCTTCATTTCACCCTAACGCAACACATTTGGGGTAACGTTTTGCATTCATAGGGAGGCTATGAAGGCTTTTGTTTGACCTGGTCGAAACGCCATCTTGATCTTGATGAAGGCCTCGTTACAATCAGCCAGCAGGTACTTGGCTTTCCTGTGGTAGATCCTCACCACCCCCAGCAGCAGGTGCCCCGATGTCCGCAGAGCCATTTTCACCTGTCGAATGAATGGGCAAAAGGTTTGTGCATGAATGACCTCTGAGGATATTGTAAAATAAATCAGCTGCTTTTTACACGTGCCAATGGCATCTGTTTAACAAATCAGAAAATCTTATCCATAGAATATTCAATGAAATTAACCCATATGTATATAATCATATGTTACTAATTCATGTCTAAAATATTAAATATAAAAACAATTAAGTCTTTATTCAGAATGATATGAAAGGGAACTAACCAAATGTGTTTATAATGTTTCGCGTTCGTGAGACAATAAAACTGCTCTAATTATCGGAGGGTTTCTGGGGTTGTTTTCTTCTCATAGATCAAATAAATCTTTGTTTCTGCATTAGATGATATGAACATATACATATACATGTAAACCCTGAGGTTACAAGAGGCCTTCAAAGACTTCACATCAGAGATTGTTAGATGAGACTTATAACGGAAAATGTTTGATAAAATGTACATGACCTCTGTAAATATATTCATTCATATCAAAACAAGCTGCGAGAACTTTTATATCTTTAAACTTAAAAAAAGAAAAAAGATTTAGCTTGAAAGATTGATCCGGTCCCATGAATACTTATGCAGAACCTTGTGAACCAAGTGTAGGAGTATTGTTAAAACACATGCTATCAAAACCGCGATGACCCTGAGAAATGACCTTGGGCGAGATGATGCTCTCGACGCTGCTCTCCAGATTGCACTCGAAGACGTGTGCCTTGGTCAGCTTCTTGTCCCAGTGGGCCGCCAGCCAGATTTTGGCCAGCGGCCCACGCTTGCTGAGGACAAAGTGGGCATAAAACATTGTGCCGGGGCCTTCTCACCACAAGGGAAAGGGGTAGGGGGAGGCCTGCAGGAGAAAAAGCAAAACACTGAAAGAGTAAACAAAGCATGACAGTTGAAAGGAAAATGTCATCATTTGAACTTAAAGCGTTTGCAAGCAGATGCAGGAGCGGGGCTCAGCTGATTAACTGAGACGTTTTTTTAAACCGTTGCATTGTATGTAAACTGCCCCAATCAACAATGCATGTGTGTCTGATGTATTACTATGGATGAGAATGTAAAGTAGTGGAAATGGTTCCATCTTAACAGTATACAAAGTAGGTAAAAGACTAAGTAAAAAGGTGTAATCATAATTTTAATGGGATTACAACACATGCACATGTGTTCTTTTCTGTTTTTTCTTTCTTTTGCTCGTCTGGTTGTTACGGTGGGCGTGGGGCGTGGCTGCGGGCTGGTGACGTCAGCAGTTACCTGCAGCCCCACAACTACGTTACACCCAGAGACAAGAACGTCAACTGTCTCTATCTGAACTGAAAGAGTGAGAACGCGTAACACACACACACACACTCACACACACGCACGCGTCCGGACGGGGCGTGGAATGTCGTTGAAGGGTCACGAGACGTCCGTTACGTTAAACCGCATCGTCCGTCACAACAGGTGATGACGATGCGGGCGGGCTGCTAGCCGTTAGCCGCTGTCACTCAAAACCCGAGCGCCGCGCAGTCAGCGCTTATTGTCCTTCCTCGTTGACCCGTCAACCTTTGCGACTCACCGCTTCGCCGTCTGGTGCTTCTCCCCGTTTCCCCCCACCCGACGTGTCACTGCTGCTGCGGGAGGTGGTGGATTTTTATCCCACCCCTCCTCCGAGTAAAACAAACAAGATGGCGCGCCCCCCCCGGCAGAGTGGTGCTGATGAGGGAGAGAGAGGGAGGGAGGGAGGCTGAGCTTTCTACCTGTGAGCCGGTTCACCCCCGAAACCTCAGTACAAACAGTATACGTGGGAATGGCGCATGTTGGGAAACACACACTGTTGTTATATTTGCTCTGCCCCAGTGCCACGTGAAGAGGGGAATGACAAACATTAACACTTGATGCTCGTGAATCCTCTTGATGTTGTGGTAGTAATAACTTTACATACACATCTGGAGTGTGGCCTGACACATCATATTGACATACTGCCTGAAGTTAATCCACTTTAAGACACTTGAATTCACTTTACCTGCTAATTATTTAATAATGTAAAAGTAATTAATACAATTTGTGCTGGGCAACCATTACATTTTTTAATTGCTGGAATCATCCCCGAGATGAGGTTTGAAGGGCTCAGGGATACTTAAGGGGGCGTTCATGTTTTCGTATCAAATTTCATGAACTGATGGTTTCGACCGAGAAGATGACTTTGCCTTTTCTATAGAGCTTCATTACATGAATGTTAATAGCAAAAGGTATATCTTAGATTTTAATGCCGACATGTAACATATCAAATTATTGCACCTTGTGATATGAACTAATGATCAAGCAGGTGCATTATGCCAGCCTGTTTGTAACTTACTAGGCTGATGGTAACTCCTTGCAATCAGATCATTTTTGTATTATCATGTTTCACTGTGAAATAAATATGTGTATATCTCAGGACCTGTAGTGACAACATGCTGATCAGATACACAGGTTGAAGGAATTTGTGTTTTTTCCATAATGGCATGCATTTTCATTTGAGAAGGAGAATTAGGATGCATAGACAGTTTTTAGCAGTGTCGATATTCATTATTCTCACAACCGTTGTCAGTCTGGAGAATACAAATTTTGTGTCTCTCTTATCTACAGTAAACTTTAAGCACTTCATGCTTTATGCTCTGGTAAATTATAATAATATTCACTGCTGTAGAATACCTGCTTGCAAACTTAAGAAATAGTTTAAGCTTCTACAAATGTAGCAGTGAAAACCCCCTAATGCCCCATTCATTACAAAAAATATCAACTGCACAAAAACCTTAAATTCCAACTTTTTAATCTTTTCCAGTTTTTGATAATCCATCCAGTTTATCACTCAATCTCATCAACATCCACATCAACAGTCTTGCTGGTTCCGACCACCTTTCCATCCACAACTGTTTCCACCACTGTGATGGTCTTTGTGATAACTGAGGGGAAAAAAAATATAGAAACAATCATGAGCAAATCACACCACATTTCTTAAAACCCCGTTAAAATTTACGTTGCATTTTACTGGTGAAATAGAAACAACATGCATGTAAAACTTTGCTTACCTTGTTTTGAACTGGTGATGCAGATGCAAAGAAAGAAAAAACAATTAGTCTAGAACATTTCTACTCTTCATCATATCGTATCAACGTCGGTGTTTCTCTCTCTTCATCGGGTCTCACCTTTCATCCTCCCCATCCAGCAACCTCCTGTACTCTGCGATCTCCATCTCCAGCCGAGCCTTGAGGTCCAGCAGCACGTCGTAGTCCTGCTTGTTGCTGGTGATGTTGGCGTGGAGCTGGGACAGCTGAGCCTCCAGGCTTGTGACACTGTTCTGGAGGCCTGCTAGCTGTGAAGCGTAACGCGCCTGGGTCTCTTCCAGGGTGCCCGCCAGAGACACCTTCTGTTGGAGGCGCAGGAGGAAGTTCTTAAGTGAGGAGGCAGTCAGTGATTCAAAGTAACAGCTCTTACTTGATGCTCGTTCCAATTCGCTGCAAGGCTTTTGGCTGTCTGTGTGTGTAACTATCATTTTGGTGTCGTGTGTAGTTCTTAATTACCTTTTATTTACAAAAGGTTGTTGCCGATCATGTTCGTGCACTAAATATGGAGCCACACCTAGCTCCTGGTTGGCTTACAGCTCAGAATTCTAGCTCTTTAAAACTCCAAATTTCACAAAATATAGTACATGGAATTGCATGTATTATACATTGTTCATTCTGTACACATGGCATCCATTGTAGTCTGTCCATCCCGGGAGTGGGATCCCTCCTCTGACGTTCTCCCTAAGGTTTCTTCCCTTTTTTTCCCTCCTGGAAGGGTTTTTTCATTTGTGGGGGTTTCGGGACAGAGGATGTCGTATGTGTACAGACTGTAAAGCCCTATTTTGTAAAGCCCATTTGTAATTTTGGGCTATACAAAATAAAATTAATTGAATTGAATGTTAAGTGTCATTTAAAAGCAACACATTGTGAACCCCCTCAGGCTACTGTCTTTATGGTAACTACTAAACGAGCCAGAGAGTTCCAAGAGCTTTTCTTTAAAACATTTCCAGTGTTATTGTCTGTTATTGAACATACCATGCTCAAATGGGACTGCAGATCAATCTGAAGCCTCTGCAGGGTGCTCTTCAGGTCCTTCATCTCTGTGCGGGCCGTCACAAGATCCTCTGAGTGTGAGATCACGTCCTGCTCCACTGTTGTGATCTTGGCAGATTGAAGAAGCAACATTCTTTGTCACCCAACAGCTCCTGCCGTATTATTACGATAAACAACCGCGGCACAGTGGCGGTACTCTGAGCAGCTGTAACATTTCACCTGGTTCTGGTACCACGCCTCGAGTTCAATGCGATTCTTGCTGATCAAACTCTCGTAGTGTGATCTGATCTCAGACATGACCTGGTTCATGTCTTGAGAGGGAGAGGCATCCACGGCCACGTTGACCTGTCCGCTCATCTGACTCCTCAGCAGGGTCAGCTCCTGTGGGGGTCAAAGGACAGTCAGCAGGTGTGTTTACTACAAAGAATGAATGGGTTTGTTATCATGGAAACACCAGCAGCGGATCCTTTGTGAGCTGCATTTACATCTGTTTAGAGAGTGTAGGAGACAAGCTATTGACAAGTATGGAGCTAATGGAGGGAGAGAAGAATACAAGATCGCGTGGCAGCAGATCCGTTTAATCACCTCTTCGTGGTTCCTCTTGAGCGTGATGACGTCCTCCCTCAGGTCCTCATACCGGCCCTCCAGGGCCATTCTGACCAAGTTCATCTCATCCAGCACCTTCTTCAGCCCCGAGATGTCCGCCTCCACCGCCATCCTCATGGCCTGCTCGTTCTCCTGCCTGAGACAAGCAAACCGGTCAGACGGGTTTCATTGGGTAGTTCGAAGTAGTCAGTGAGCCTTCCGTTCACAATGTGATGTGCATGTGAAGGTTAACTCATGTGCCATTGCAGAGAAGCACAGAGGAATACACTCACTTCAATTTGAAATCCTCGGCGGCCAGTTTTGCATTGTCCATGTCCAGGATTGTCTTGGCATTAAACTTGGAGGCGATAAGAATCTGAGGTGGGGAAAAAAAACAGGAAACATGTAAGAAAAAGTACAATCGTGCTAATTTCTCAGTATAGTATGTGATCCACGTCAATCATTTTTGGGAAAGTACCCATCAAAACGTGGTCCTTAAAGAATTGGAGTGTAAGGGTTTTTAAATTGAGCCTGTCCAAAATGTATCCTGCTTCTCTAACTCAAATGTCAGCTGTCCCAACCCCACACACAGTTCTTCCCAACACACTCCCCAGAACGACGAGACGGGCAAGACGACAAAAAACACACACATGTCGGTCTACTTCTTCTTACCTTGTTCTCCAGATCTTCGATGATGGCGAAGTAGCTTGTGTAGTCGGGGCTGATGACCGTTTTGCCCTGGTAATAATGTCTGATCTGCATCTCCAGGTGGTTGTTCTCCTTCTCCAGGGTGCGCACCTTCTCCAGGTAGGAGGCCAGGCGGTGGTTCAGGTTCTGCATGGTGGCCTTCTCGTTGGCCCCGACGTGGAGGTCCATGCCGGCGGTCACGTTGAAGCCTCCGGAGGAGGACAAGGAGGAGTGTCCGTAGCTCTGCTGGGACGAGGAGATACGAGTGCCACGGCCGCCTGCTCCTCCGTAGACACTCGTGGTCCTCTGGCCGTAGGATACGCTGCTGAAAGACATGCTGAGAGCTGGATCTGGATCTGTAACAGGGAGGATCAATGATCTGCGGTTGAAGGCATCGCCTCGGTCTTCTTGGTTATATAGCAAGAAAGTGGGAGGGCCAAGAAGGGGTAAATGAGAAGGAAGACCCTGCTCCTCTTTGCGATCTCCTCATCAGCATGGGTGTGGTGATTTGCAGGTTGTGGTTCACCGCCTCTTTTTCAGGTAAAACCCGTGGTTCTCAATAAGACGGCATTCCTTGAATACCATTTTGTCTCTGTTCTTTCCATGATCTCCTTGCTACCGTTGGCAGTTTGTGATTGCAGCCCTCCTTGTCAGGTTGGTTGAAAGCAGATTGAGATGAAAATGCATACTTTAGAGTAGTGCATCCTTATAAAAGAAAATATATGGTTCATTTTCTTGTTAAATGTTCGCTCCTAGCAGTAATAGAAATGGAACATGCCAGTGACTATTAACCTGAAATGAAACTTGGGGCACGAGGTTGAGGGCAGGGGGCAGATTCTAGTGAACGTCATTTTTGTGTCCAAGATTTAAGAAATTACTTAAATTAGAAAAGACAACAGATTGAACATAAAGTGAGGACACAGCAATTTATTGATGAACATATTGGTCTCACAGTGCTGTCATGCTGGGATGGTAGAGCTGAGTAAAGATCATGATATGAATGAAGAGTAGAATACTTACTAGTTAAGAATATACACAAATCACTCTTTTTTAGTTTTATTATAGTGATGATACATTCTAGTTTTATTTAAGTAACATTTTCATAACAGAACCTTTAATTTAAGTAATTAGTGTTGTATCTATACCAAAAAAATACAAGGATCTGAGACCTTCTACTAGCGCAATTAACTTATTCTATGATTGGATCAATTGGGGATAAACACTGAAAAATGTAGGTTTTTGTTTAGATTGAATTGTAGGACAAGCCTGACAGGTTACTGAGGAACTAAACTTGTTTCTCTGGTGAAACTACTCAACACCCTGCCTGGATCACATCTATTGTAATATTTGGAAACTTTGCAAACAATCTGCAATGACTAACTTAAAAATTGTACCAGATAGTTGCATTGGTTTATGATGATCGCCTACACACAACAAGCACACACCTGTAAATTATCACTTCACATCATTTGCTTTATCTGATTATCTCATCAATGGAGCCATGACGCATCAATCAGCACTCACGCTGATAAGAAGGGTGTCGGGGTGAGTGGCAGGTTTTCTGTCCATCTGAAGACTTTTTTTTTTCTCCAAAGCGCTGCCAACACACTTCCAGTGCAGCAATGGACACGCTTGGCTTGTAAAACAACTTTCTAAGTGTCCCTTTCATCCTTTAAATATCTTTTCTTCAATCACCGAAGAAAAGATATTTTGTTCCTACAAACACTGAAGACTGAAACTGCAGCTCCGCCTGGCTTTCCTGGCCCCCGCCCTAAAGATGTGACTACCAATCCTTTCTTTAAGATAGTCAACGTTGATGGCACGTTTGTATTAGTTGGAGGATTTTTAGTTGCAGCAGCATTCTTTTATGTACTCGTGCTTGTGCAATCCGTGTTTTAAATTTTTTTTAACCTTTTTCATAGACTTCATAAAAGTGACCTTGTAGTTTGGCCAATCGAATCCCATCAAATCACTAAAATTGTGTCAGTTATCAAATGTTATAAACACACAAGCCCAAAACAGAAATTGCCAGAGTAGCAGTATTAAATCGGCTTTTCATGTTGTTTATCTTTTTGTACCATAGTTGAGGTAATTAAGAGTTTTTACACTGACGAAAATAAAAATTTTAAACTTTAATGTCACTACAAACTGCGATGCATTTTATTACAACGTAGTCCCTCAGTTTGTCTCCCCCGGTTCTGGTGAAATTCTGGACGTGGGTGAAAGCGCCACCAGGAGGCAGCATAGTTGGCTGAAAGGTCACACACTATCAACACAATGCACGTCCAGAAACGGCACATGGCACTGCATCACTTTTTATCCACTGAAAGGGAACTCAAGAAGGTACTTTATTTAGTTTACTCCGTCGAAGGAGCATCTCCAGACACGGGGACATTGTCAAGAGCCCTGCACTCCTTCCTGCGACTTCTATGTGTTACATTTACTTAAAAACATTGCCCTTGTCTTGCATAACGGACCATAATCCAGCGGAGTGCACGGCTGTCGGTCACCACCCACCAGACCACCTGCGGCTCAGTCTGTGTATCCGCCGGCTTGTTTGTCTCTGTCATACTCGTTCCCTGTCGGCCTGCTTCCTTCACCCCCCGAGGCAGACGGCCCAATCACTCCAACCTCTTCTCACGCTCGACAGACCTCTGCACAAATGGAGTCATAGCTCACATCTCACGGGCTCTGACAAGTGCGCTGCTCCGTCCCCCTCTCCAACACGTTCATCCATCCGCCCTCACAATTTACTCTATTTTCATTTATTTGATGCACAGTGTGTGGAGTGAGAGTTTTTGTATGGTGGACGCAAGGTTAACTCTCTCCCTCATGCACACACACACACACACACACACAATAACACACCAACCACTTCTCATTGTGTCCTATGACACAGCACTTTAAAAGGCTAAAACAGTATCTCACAGTGAAGGGGGGGGGCATTGACTGTGTTAGATGTCTCATCCAAACGTGCCCACTCATTCTTCACAGCCCATAAGTCAGAGAAGGACATACACTAGCACCTTGTCTCGGTACAGAAGTCAGGGGGGGAAAAGGGCTCACAGTTGCCAAAAACCATCCCACAAACCCCACAGGGAACGGACTTAACTTGGGACACAAAGGGCCTGGTTATATTTCACCGTAGGATGGCCTTTGTGCCTCTGAATCGGCTAACACTGAGGCTGTGTCTCATACCTCGTCCAACCCGTCTGTCTCCTAAGCTGACAAGTAGGTCTCTTTTAGGGAGAAGCACTAGAAAAAGTCCACTGGGGGTTCGATGGATTTTGTGCGTATACACGCAGGCGCACACACACACACACACACACACACACACACAGGTTTACACATGGGCACTTTGTCCAAATGAGAGCTCACCCACAGCACATTTCTCACAGTAGGGTTGTATGGAGGCGGGATGAACTGAGAAAGAAAGAGCCGAAAGGGGGAGGGTGGTGTGGTGGTGGTGGGGGGAGGTCTCTTCAGCTCTTTTTGGAGGCAACAATGGTCTTTGTCCGAGTTCCTCAACCATTCTTCTTAGGGTTACCGAAAGGAGGAGGAGGAGGAGGAGAAGGAGGAGGAGGAGATGGGGCACATGCAGTCGCAGGGCAGTTTTCTCCATAGTAACAATGACAAAACAAGCCAGTTCAACACCAGGCAGGCAAAAGGGATGATTGCAGCTACTGAATAGAAGCTTGTGCTGCGGAGTCCTGTTCACATGAGGAGAGGAGGAAGACGATCAGAAGAGGTGGAGGTCTAGATTTCTCACAGTTTAAGAGACAGTGTGTAGCAGCCTAGTTTTGAGAAAGTGCTGGGAGGCCACACGTGAGGTGGGAACAAACTTCTCCTCCCAGCATGGACCGAGACAGTCACAGCGAGGATACTTTGTCCACCATGGTTCTGGAGAACATTAAAAACAAATTGATTCATGCCTTCAGGGCGACCGGAGAGTCCAGGGGGAACCCTGAAGACGCTGGCTCCGCTGTGAGACCGGTCAGCATGAGCAGGAGTCACCAAGCCAACGAAGAGCTGCGGAGGGCGCAGATAGACGGAGCGATAACCTGGCTGAGGTCCGAACTGGTGAGTTTTGATTTTGATATTGTGCTAGTTTTGCAACAGGTGACATAACCGGAAATGTCTCCAATTGATCCATTGATGGGGTCATTTCTTGAAGGTAGTTTATGTATTTGTATGATGACAGTCGGAGGAAACCTTTCGTGTCCTGGCATCTAAAATATGCTAATTCAGATTACTTTTATTGGTGTCTTGCAGCTGGAGATGCGCTCACAGGACCTCCAGCTGGCTCAGACGCTGCTGGGCCTCAACACAGAGATCCAAAGGCTGCGTAGGGAGAGTTTCGGAGGCGTGGAAGCGGAGGGGGATGATCAGCAGTAACTGGCCCAAGCAGTGAGGCCATTTTCCGTTCGGAGAAGACTTCAGAGAGGTGGAGAAATGCCATGGAGCCCGTGGAACGCAAGGAAATGGCTGGAACCCAACAGCAAAGATCAAATGCATTGGCTGGTGATAGCTGTCATCATGTTTGTCATGCATGGTACAAAGAGACACCAGATGCACGTAAAGTAGGAGGAAAAAGAAGGACAACATGTGCTTTCTGTTCTGTGATGCTGGCGTTGTTAATTTGAGATATTTTGCACTTATGCAGAGTTGTACTAAAGAATGAATGAATGTAAAAACTATAAACACTTTTGTCCCAATTTGATGTTGACATTTTTTGTAATTTGACAAAAAAATAAAATTTGCACCATGAGTGAATTCATGTTTAATGTACTGGCACAGCGCACGGCACATAACAGCCTGTTTGAAATACAGCTAAGTTCAGGTTTGGTTGTTAAACTCCAAACCAACTCCATTTTATTCAATTCCCAAATACTTGATTACTCAAAGAGATATTCACGACTACACGGCACAATGGCACTGTCAGCAAAATGCTTCATTGCCATATGTGGGCAATACAAATGCAGTATACTCCAGGCGGTCCCACTGCTGAATTTAATCGAATGTGCATGCAGTTGGAGTTGTTAAAACCTCAGCGAGCTTTCAGCACTTACACACATAAAATCAATACACAATTAAAAAACGCAAATTCAAACCTCAACATTTGTCAGCTCTGTGCCACCAGCAACTGTTACATACAATAGTGACCAAGACCAACACAAGATTTACAACAACCTCTTATGTACTCAATTTAAGGAATAGCTGGACATTTTGGAAAACTCAGCTTCTCCATCTCGTTGAGATTTAGATGAGAAGACTCTGGTCTCCGTGTCGATAAATAAAGCGCCGCAGCCCCCAGCTGCTTTGCTTTGCTTAGCCTCGTATCGAGACTAAATATTTTTTTTGGGGGGGGAGTCAACAAAATACTTATAAGCTAATCTTTACAAAAACGGAAGGTGACATAAGGGCAGAGTCACGCTGGCTGCTCCCTCTGTTAACCATCTCTATGCTAAGCAAAGCTAGCTGGATCTCTCAGCGGGTTATTTATGGTCCACGAACAACAGGCTTGTGCAATATTATTCAGTACAGTACCATGTTGCTTCATTAGAATAACACAAAAAAACATAAATATATCGAATGTAAGGTGAAGAATAAATGACGAAGTCTCCCAGCCGGTGGAAAGGAGCTGCTCAGGTGGTTATTTTTGACTAAGGACTCCCAACCCTTCAGGTGTAGAACTGCAATTCCAAAGAATTTTGTCAGAAATCTATGTGTTTTTCTCTACGATGCCATATTTTAGTTTAGAAAGCAGAATCAACAAGCTAAAGGAGCCACTAAAGTGACATTTAGGGCTTTCCTTGTCCTTGTTAGTAAGCGGGAGCAGGGAGGAGAGGAGGGTTATGATGGGAAGCTACAAACATGTATCTTTCTCCAGGTGTTTTGTTCGTCGACTGTCTTAGAGGAAGTTAGATTTCTTCTGATAGTCAGAATTGTCACGGCACAGAGCTCCTCCGGCTGAACGCCCTGTCTGATAAGACCCTCGAGTGAAAGGTCGGAGCGGCCTTAAGGCGAGAAAGGGAGAAGCCCACCTCCCCCGAGCCGGAGTAGACGCTGCTGCTTCCTCTTTCGCTCTCGGAGTCCCAGTAGCTGCCCTCCTCTTCCTCCTCCTCGTCTGTTTCTTCCTCTCGCTCCTCTTCAGCCAGCTCTTGCTTCAGCTCCTGGATGCCTGAGTGAAGCTCCATCAGCTGCCGGATCAGAGCTTGGTCCTGCGAGCGCATCTCCACCTGCACATGCACACACCACAAAATGATTAGTGAGAGCAAAAGGAAAAAAAACATCCTAATATCATTTGATAAAAGAAAAATGAACATCACAATTTCACTAATTTCACAATGTCTTGATCAAGCTGAGCGGGTTACTGCTCAGTGTGACGGCATTTCATTCCAGCGTTGCTTTCTTTCAAATGCAAATGCTTCCTTCTGCCCTCCTATTTCTTCCCTTTTTTATGAAAGGCTGTCTAATTGCTGTCTAAATAAGATATTCAGAATTCCATCACCAACTTCAGAGTCCAAGTTTGCCCCAAGGAGTGAAGAATGTACCAAACAAAAAACCTTCAGGGCCGATTTGCATTTCTTTTCTGTGGTAATTACAGCACCAGGTTGAGACTGAAAGATGCTGGTTTTACCGCCTTTGTTGAGGGAGGAGAGAAAAAACGTGAACCTTTTTCTTCCAGCCCTTTTCAAATAATGTGTTGGACACTGTGTGTGTGTGTGTGTGTGCGCTGTGTGTGTCTGCATCTGCCTGCGCACCTTCTTCTGTTCCAAACCACCCAAATTCAACATTTTTATGTCGATAACAAAAAAAACTCCTGCCATATTTCTGGCTGTAATAAAATGTATTTCTCCAACACGGACCAAATACCCTTGGAATTTAATTAGAGGGATGGACAGAGCACATCTCTAACCGTGCTCAATTGTTGCCCAAATTTAATTGCATTTTTAACAGAGAAGTTGGATCTTTCACAAATCCCCCAAAAGAATCTCTCCTTTTGGGGGATTTCTTTGAAAAAAAAACATGAACACAAAGCTTTTGCTTTTACTTCAAGATAAATAAAAAGATCAAAATACACACTTTGAAACAAGAAAATTATATATTTTTAAAACCCTTGAAAGAACATGAAGGGATCAGACGTCCTGAACAGTTACTTTATTGACCTGAAGGTGTTATGTTTGGTCAACGGCGGCTTTTACAGTCAAGAATTAACTTAAAAACTGTGCAAAAACAGAAAAACTGTTGTCCTTTATGACTCAAAAGCTTGAAGACAGCTACCAAACGGATCTTGAGCTCGATGCTGGAAGATCTCGATCATTGCCTTGGCTTTTTTCATGTGGCCAATCCTTCTCACTCCTTCTAGAGGAACAACATTCAGATGTTGTCATGCATTGCTGCTTGCAGGCTGGGATTGGGGGTGGGGGCTCTGTTCTTACTGTCGTTTTGTCGGGCTCCTACTCAGACACGTTGTTTCTCCTCCCCTGTGAGCTGAGGAGACTCGGTTACCATGACGAGCCGTCCGGGTGAACGCACTAAATGCCAAGTGATATACTAGGCCGTGACAATGGGCCTTAGACAGACGCTCACAGAGGTGCAAACAGACACACACACACACTTGGACACATGACCACACACACAGCCTCTTTAAAAAACGGGTTGACATTGTAGTAACATGACCGACATGCATCTTAGGAACAAAAGGCCGATACCTTCCCACACAAAAGCAAACAGGATGATCCAGAAGGTCTTTTTGTTGTCCTTAGGACTCGACCTTCGGCCGATACCACAATGTAAGAAATATTCGGTTCCAAATAAGAACCCTGCACATTGTCAACAACGACACCATTTAAATCTTGTTGCCTGTAAAGTGTGAAACAATCCAGATAATTCTAAATGCTAAAACATTAGCAAGGGTTGTCGAATAGAGATAAATGGACTCCCTAATGTTTGCTGCACAGCAACGTTAAAGATAAAGTTATAGCTGACATTAGATAAAATTAGCCACCTTAAACTTTTTAATACCTCATGTGAATGCAATGATTATTTCAAAAACCTAAATCTCACAAGATGTTGGTCCCCATATTTAGAACACTATTAATTGGTCATACATTTCTTACTGTAACCATTTCATCTTTCTAAGTCTAACAAAATGTATTGTATGTAGAATGAAAGTACAATAGCCGCTCAATAAATGGGTCGACATAAAATGTACAACATCTAAGTATCTAAGTATAAAGTAGCATAATAATCCTAATGTATTTTATCCATAACGCACTCTTCATCAATAGATCTTAGCGTGCCACAGAGCCAGCAAAACAGTTAAAACATAGGAAGCACTTAACATTGAGTAAAAAAACCCTACCTGAATAAGAAGGTTTTTAGTCTATTTCTGTCATTCAGAATGACCAGGTGGTGTAAATGGTGTAAATTTAGAGCAAAAGCACAGGTACATGGACTTCATGTGGAAAGAGTAAGACCTCAGCAGAGCTCCAGTCCTACCAGTTCCCTTCGCAGCCAGGCCAGTGCGCTCTCTATGTCCAGCTTTCTGCCTCCCTCTCCAGCTGTGCACCCGGACCTGCTCTGAGGGTCCCTGCGTGCACCCTGTCCCGCCGGCTGGCGATCATCGAAGGTGGACGTCCTGCAGGAGAAGTCCCGCAGTCTGTTCAGGACCACTTCCATCATGTCAGGTGTTTGTTCTCAGCTGTCGCGCAGATGCAGCCTCGTCCGGTCTCTCGTTCTCCTCCTGTTATGAGATCACTTGCAGTTCTGACAATTTATGGGGAACTCTCGCTCCCTTGCATTCTCAGCACTGTGGAGTGCATGTGCATGTTGGCGGAGCAGGTCTGACGTCAGTGCATTGTCCAGATGACCTGGAGCTGTTTACCACTTTGTTTTGGGAGGAGGGGGTTCTTTTACACAAGCACTGACACACACACACACACACACACACACATAGACAGTGTTCATTAGGATGGAGAGGAGGCTGTCAGCTGCCATGGGGGGATAACATCTTAACATCTAACATCTAACGTCTGTTGTTTTTTGTGTACTTGAGGAGGATGCAGGGAGTGCAGATCTTGTGATCCCGGGTGGCTCATTGCAGGGCGAGGAGCTTAAGAACAGTGTGAACAACCATGTGTAACTAACCCCCTCTCGTGCTACTTTACCCTCACACTGCCGCCCCTAGCAACACCATCTATTCACACACACACACACGCCTTGGTAAACCAAACATAGGCCCACTTTGTGGACTCCACAGTATCAACCCAAATAGCCACATTGACACATAGAAAGCTATTTTTAAGAGTTGAAACAGACTCCTCTGCAAGAAAACCTACGTCACCACACTCAAAAGGAATAAAAAACAAGCTACCTTTTAGTCTCATTGTGCGAATTGTCCCATGTCCCAAATGCGACTTCCAAAGACAACGAAGAGCCGGGTTTAAGTTGTATGACCTGTGACGTCAACAGTTGCTTTGTGAATGAGCAGAATTATTTATGTTAAACACTTTTTCACCACCTACCAGCTTGATATTGAATTTAATGCTAGACTGTTTGTTTTGGGACGGGAGAGGGAATTGTGTTTTTCTATCTGATGTTTCAGCTAAGATCAACACCATTTGGACAATTTGCAAACAATATTTTTTACTGCTGTCGGAGACACACAAGACTTCATATTCAATACAACTACATAAAAAGTGTTGCAAGTAGGATCGTTACAGTTTAAGAATAAGTACTGAGCTTGAAGTACAAATAGAAATACTACAGTACTCAAAATTTCACTTTTTAAAGTACTGGCATCAAAATGAACTTACGGTAATAGAAGAACTCATAATACAGATATTTTTTCTCTATATATTTCTGATCACGGCTCATTGTCGCCACCATGTGTTGTATTTTTGAAGGCAATCGCTGGTGGTTTTCTTTCAAGGATGCAGATATGATCAATCTGTACACTATATTGGAAACTCGATGAGATCACGTCCATCATCTGGCCATGTGACACCACTGGCAAGGTACTTTAAGATGACGTTAAATACAAACCGTGTATTCAAAACAGAAAATATAAACTGCTTTTGAGTCAGTTTTTTTCTCAAAAAATAAAATGTATAATTATATATAAGGACTATACAAAATATCAACCATCCAGTCATAGGATTTAAGAAGAGAAACAGTTGGACACCTGCGACTAGGCCTCGTAATGGAAGTCAAATTGTTTGCGCACTTCCATGGATAACTCGTGACGTCACACACGAATGCCTTTATGTGGCTTCAAATCCACAAGGCACAACTTTGGACTTGTGGGAGCCGATATTCAAAAGCTTTAGGGCAAACTCCGCAATAAAACAAAACTACGGCTGAGAAGAGGAAGCCTGGACACAGAAAACAATTGTGATGGAGTCACGTAAGCGATCCTTGGTTGTGTAATAATAGAGTGCCGGCTGCTAAATGTGGGCGGGGCCACAGTGAGTCAAGTCGTAGTGCCCCGCCCCCCTCATTTGATTGAGAAAATTTGTGCACACGCGAACTTTTACATCTCATTTCATTTTTAGCGCTACATCTAAGAAAACGTGGCATTGCTAGAGTTGTTTTACTGTGCACAGCCGGAGCACTGGAGGTCTTTTATTAACCTTCCAAAATCCGCGAAGAGTCTGTGCTGGTTCGGAAGCGCTGCAGGCGGGGATCTGTTTGCACACGGTGCGCGTCGGCAGCGTGGATCACAAGGCTGTGTGCGTCGCGTGTGTTTGATCCACAGTCAGATGTACAAGGAGTCCACGCAACTTTCACAGGAACTCTCAAGAACTCCATATCCCCTTTTTGGATGAACGCAACTTCAGCTTTCTTGGACGTATATTTTAAATCACATTGTTCTTTTTTGTTTTGTTTTTTTAAATATTTTTTTATTTCAGGCTTGTCGGTTTTTAAAATTGTGAGGGTTCACTTTTAAATTAGTTGCACTCCAAGAAGTTAATCATGTTCAAGAAGAAGGATCCGGAAAGAACGGGACTCGTCTCGGATTTGAGGAGCTCGTACACCGCTTTGGCAAGGTAAACTTTGTTTTCTTTTATTTGCGCTAAATTGGATTAGAATATTTATTTAAACGATAATGATTTCTTCGGCTTTGTCTGAAATGCTTCAGTGAGCTTAAATCAAACTTTTATTTCAGACCCAAGGTTAGTGACGCATATTAAACGTTTAAAAACGGCGTCCCTGAATGCAGTTGTGCTGTTGGCACTGTCTTTGCCCACGTTCCCTTGTGCATGAACTGGGCTTTGTTTTTTAGGTTTTTTTCCACACGGTGCTACTTCGCTGGTCCGAGAAGCAGTGCGCAAACCACAGTCACTAGCGCAAAAGTGCACTTTTACCATGATGGAGACACTGGGAGGGGCCCTGCAGTCTCCCCTCTAGGCTATTGCCTGTGGGATTTAAAAAAAAAAAGTTTTACTTGTTGCTATAAACAAATCAAATATTTTCATTCTGTTGACAGGAAAAAAAATACCCTTTTGAAAGGAAAGGTGTGCACAATTATATATCAGATTAACCGGGTCTGCTGATGCACTATGCGCAATGAACTTTTTTCATTGATCTGATCTGCGGGCGGCGTGGTGGTTAGCAGTGTAACCTCACAGCCAAAGGGCCCTGGGATCAAGGGGCCTATCTGTGTGAAGTTTGCATGTTCTCGACTGAGGTTAGGTTAGTTGGTGACTCTGTGCACGGTGGTCTGTCTCTACATCAGCCCCGACCAGGCTGGCTGTACCCCCACATCTCACCCGATGCAAGCTGGGATTGACTCCAGTGTATATAATCAGGCAAACCTGTTGGCCCTTTCCCTAATTGAGCAGCTGATTGGTGCTGGTTGGCTGTTGGCGAGGAGGCGTGGCCGGTGAAGACCTGGGGAGTAATGGCTAACTGCCTATATAAACCAGCCTAGTTGCTGCAGCGAAAAAGGAGAAAGGAGAGGGACCCCTTGTGTTTTGTATGGCCTGTCAAAGACGTTTTGTGTGGAAACCTGTCTGGTGAGATCCCGTTGTGTTCTACCTGAGTTCTGGAGAAGGGGTAGGTAGTTCTGCCCATGGGTGTACATTTGCATCACGTAGGTACATTTTTGTTACTGGGCGGGGGTCACCCCTGTAGTTTTGGCCATAGAAAGGTAAGCTGGTTAGGGATTGACTGTGTTAGGCAGGGATACGTGTGTAGAAAAAAGGGACCTTTTGTTTATTTCATTACTTTGACCCCAGTCCCAAAATTCCCTTCTCCTCCCTTCCTTGGTTGTGTGTGTGTGTACTTGTTTGTTTTTTTGTTGTTCCAAAGACTTTCATCTGCCAAAACAACATGTATTAATTTTTTTTAAATGTGCATCCAGTGTGCCCAACCAGATGGCGTTGCAGATAGACGGCACTGGTGGCATCAAGCATTGCCATGACAACAGCAGCGCACAGGAGGATCGTGAGCGGGAGAAGAAGGTCGCCCAGAGGAGGCTGTATGTGGTCTCTGTCATCTGCCTGCTTTTCATGATTGGTGAAATCATTGGTAAGTCTTGCTGCTGTTTTTTCCAAAATGTGTGACATTTTTGGTTTATTCAACAAAAGTCAACTATCTTTTGTACTTGTGACTCCGCCAGGTCAAACTTTCCCCTCGTCTTTTTTTTTGTTTTGTTTGTTTTTTTACACCTCCCAGTATCAGTGGATCATTTCAGCAGTACAACAGTGTAATATCTATATTGCTTTATGGTCCTTCCGAAGGTGGCTATTTAGCAGGCAGTCTTGCGGTGATGACGGACGCTGCCCACCTGCTTGCAGACTTCATCAGCTTCCTCATCAGCTTGTTGTCCCTCTGGCTCTCCTCCAGACCTGCCACTCACAAGCTCAGCTACGGCTGGCATCGCGCAGGTACGTGGGCTTTGATGCGGGATTGTATGAGGTACATAATACTCCGTGTATTACTACCTGCAGGAGTATCAGCACAGGGGCAAAGTGTTATGGTGTTAAGCGGACATAATGTTATGGTTATCAACATCGGACTAAAATCTGTAATTGGAGCTATCTCTACATCTAACAATTTAAGACTCTTCTTGTCACTTAATTTACCGTTACCATAGCATTGTATTTAAAGTTTCTTCTTTGTTATTTGGAGCTGAAAACTCTTGTGTGGAGCAGCTTTCAGTCAGTATTTCTCGGCGCCTCTTGAAATGTTCCTCGCCATTTATTTTCCTCCTCATTTGTTCCCCCACGCAGAGATTCTGGGCTCTCTGCTGTCCGTGTTCACCATCTGGCTGGTAACAGGAGTGTTGGTTTACCTGGCTGTGGAGCGCCTCGTCAGCAATGACTACACCATCGAGGGCACCATCATGCTCATTACCTCTGGTTGTGCTCTGTTGGCTAATATCGTGTGAGTGAAATACACACGCTGTTCTTATTTATACGGCTTTTATCGATCCGCTTTGGATCTTTTTGTTAAGGCCGATACAGAAAAGAGGTCAAAACCACATCTACTTTGATGGTCTGTTATATTTAGAGCTGGTTCGATTCCTGCTTTGAAAATGATTTGTTCCTCCTGCCGTCAGCATGGCCCTCATTCTGCACCAGTCCGGCCACGGCCACAGTCACGGGGGAGTGGGCTCACACGGCCACAGCCACAAAGGGAACGAGCACGATCGCGCTACGAAGCAGAAAGATGACCATGCAGACCCCGAGAAAAACGTGGTTGCTAATGGTATGTTCCTTAGAAAACAATCATGCTTGAGAAGTAAGTGACAAAATGATGCATAACCTTTTTTCATGATGCAGGGAAATGCTAAAAAAAGCAATTTGTGAACAGAGGTTTGTTTTGAATGCTGGACAAAAAGCTCAATTGTTGGCTTTAGAATTTTATTAATAATGCCAATAATACATTAAAAAGGTGGAAAAGATCAGGGCTTGTTCAAAGTCTGACACCATACTAAATTGCTGGCTTTAACATTTTAATGAAACAAATCAAAAAAGATCCATACTTTTCCAAGGTTTGTTGAAAAGCGGATTCTACTCTATTCTAAATTGCGATCTTAATCACTCATCCTGAGCTCCTGCTCATTCCATGGCTTTCAGTAATTGCTCAAATATTTTATGTGCGCGTGTCAAAAATCTGAGGATAGAAGCAGATTAGATGACTCAAATGTTCTATCATCCAGAAATGTTTTGTGGCAGTTGGTTAGAGTTTCTGTCAGATGCGCTAATCCGCTTCCTCCACAGTGACATTACGTCAATATCTGAACGTGGTACATTTTCTAGAATGAATCTGTATGCTTTCAGTTTGTCAGATTTAAACATTTTTGTCTATTTATTTGAATGGGGAATTGCACACACATCGAATATAGCTGAGAATGTGAATCTTAAAAGTTATATAATTTATCATTTTAGTTGTCCGTTTTGATGTTTAATAAAAACGTGAGGTGCGAAAATGTGCTTTTGGAGGAGTAATGAAGATGCTTTCAGCATACGCACTGATTAATTGTTTAATGCATTGTTGCTGGACTTCTTTTCTAAGGAGGGAGGTCTCAGCAGGACAACGCCAGCGTACGAGCGGCCTTTGTCCATGTGTTGGGAGATCTCCTCCAGAGCGTCAGCGTCTTACTCAGCGCCATTATTATCTTCTTCAAGGTAAGGATTCTCTCAAAGTGTGGGAGGTCTAGAAGCGTGACCGTCTGCAGCTCTTTGAACTAAATTCATTTGTTGATGTGTGGCCCTTAAGTAGTTATTGTATCAGTAATTATTAAGAGGCTTAAGTCTTTGATGCCTTTGGCAAGATACAATGTATTGTCTGTTTCTTTCTTTCAGCCAGAATATAAGATCGCGGACCCCATCTGCACCTTCCTGTTCTCCATCTTTGTCTTGTGCACTACCTTCACCATCTTGAGGGACATTCTTGTAGTCCTGATGAACGGTGAGCCTCTCCTCAATGACTGCACGCCGAGTGTGCGCCTCTCTTTCCCCATTCCTCCTCACCGCCTCACAAAACCATTCACTTCCCTGTACGACTCAGGCACTCCTGCGGGGGTGAAGTACGGCGAGGTGCGAGATAGCCTTCTGGAGGTGAAGGGGGTGAAGGCGGTCCACAACCTTCACATCTGGGCCCTCACCATGAACCAGACTGTGCTGACCGCCCACGTGGCCATAGGTGAGATGGCGCTGCCGGAGTGGAACACTTCACTGCCTTCATTCTGGCAAAAATGTCCTCCAGGTCTGGTTAGAGGGCCCTTGTGGGACTAATAAAGGAATATCTTCTCTAAATCTTTGCTTCAGTTGCCGAATTTAAATAATTCAAATAATAAACGAGTGATAGTAATTTCAAATATTTATTCTCCTGTATATCAACGTCTCCATTAACGTCAGTAATGTCAACAGGCACGTAGGCTTAATGCTTGAAGGCTTGTCGCTCTTTAGTACTTCAGTTGAAACAATTTTAAGGCACAGCTACTTTACACACAGCGGGTAATAACCTTTTGTTTCACTGACCTTTCCTTCGTCCACTTCTCCTTTCCACAGACGAGACGGTGGACGCTCAGACTGTCCTTAGAGAAATGACACAGGCCTGTATCTCCTCCTACAACTTCCACTCGGTTACAATTCAAATGGAGAGGCAGGCCGACCTGAAGCCTGGATGTACCCTGTGTGAGGAGCCCAAGATGTAGGAACCTGCGCAACGCTTTTATCAGAATTGGGCCACGCTGTGCGTTCACGGTCCGGTTTGATCCGCACTGCTCTCGGGTTCCTGCGACATTTATTCCAAAGGCCTATGACCGTGTGTGTTGAAGGAAATAGGAAAGAGCCTGAGAGAAAGAGCAGGCTTGTTCATGATTGAAATCATTTTAGAAGAAAGGTTCCGTATCCAAACCATTCCCCGCGCATGAAGTTTTAACTAGCATCAGCTGTATTTGCTTTTAAGTATTTGTGTTGAAATATAAGTCGCAGTGAAAACAGCTTCAAGCTTCAAAATGTAAGCGCTAAACACTTGATTTTCTGTATTCTGAGGAACTTTTATTAATTTCTTTGGGAAATCCCATTTCTTTAAAGGAAATTCAGAAACCCAGGGGCATGGTGACAACTGAAAATATAATTCAGTAAGACTCTCAGGCATTCTGTATTGTTTCAACATGTAGCTATGACTTCTGCTTAGTCTTTTGTTTGGGCGGCGTAACCTCTTTAAATGTGCATGTGGCACTCCTCTCTGATAGCGTAAGGTTGTTTTTAATTCATTTTATAAACCAGTTATTGGCTCATATCCCGCAAGTCTGTGTTCTCTGTGAAGCTGTAATATTTATTTTATGTTGCTGTTACAATAATAAAGTCACAATAATTTAAGAAGGAAAATAAGCCTTTCCTCTAGTTGAGTAAAGGCTTTTGCTTTGGATCGGGAAATCCTATTTGGTAATTGTTAACTTGTATAGAAATTACACATGCACGTCTACTCTTATTACCCATTTTAACTACTCTATTCACCCTGTGACCTTGTAAAGCATTCTGACCAATGCAAAAGTACTGTTTTTATTTTTAGCATTAACCTACTGTATGCACAGATGCAACCATTTCCACCCTGATACTTACAGATCAATTAGGTATGTAAATATCACTTTTATTTAGTGGTTATTCAACCAGCATTCTCAGAAGTACTGTGTGCATGAGTGTTTCACCAGCGCCTTTCTACTGTTTTAAGATTAAATATTGAAATAAATATTCCTTTACAGAGTCTTGTTTTCAAAGTTCAATTTGCAATGTCTTAAAATCCTAGATGAAGCACTGTATCCATTTAAACCCTTACTGCCTACACCAGCTCCTCTGTTGCTGGGCAACAAGCCCACAGATGGATCCATTGTCTTGGGGGCATGTGGATCCCTATAACGTGGCTCCACCTCAACATTTGTTTTTGAATGGGTGACACACTTTGCTTAAAGACTGAGTTTGATTCCCTTGTGGGCCGCTGCTTATAAAAGTCAAATAGGTTTAAAAGATTTGAAACGATGTGTGATATGTGATACCGGTGCTATTTCATCTGTATGAGCCTGCATGTCAGGTTGGGCCAAAGCACATGGTTAGTGTTTTTTTTATTGCATGTCAACGTGTGAATGGCAAAAACTTAATACTTATATTTACCAGATGAAAATAATTTAAAACCCTCAAATAGAATCTGAACTAAGAAAAGGTCCTCAAAGAGGACTGAGGATGGACCAACAACCCAACCCCTTTTATTTATACACAACCCAATCGAAGCTGCACCCACAACACCAGCCCATGTTAAACAGGAGTGCCCTAATATGATGTACCACATGCTGATAAAGAAATACAGAGGCAATCAGAGTCATCGCCCTGTGATGAATGAAGGCCTTTGATTTAGAATTGTTTGAATTTACAGAAATGCTTTGTGTCAGTGAGGCTTGATAACAGAAACTTCAGTAACTTGAAAAATCAATTTTTTTTCATCAGATTGCCTTGATGTAATCGATACATTATCTCTTTTCACTTTGATCAGCGATAAATTATCTCTCAAGCAGCTGAGGGCCTCTAGATAGCTGCTTTCTCAGGTCTGCTCCCATAATAAATACTCGCACCCCAAAAAAAAACAGCGACACACAATTTCTCAACCTGTTCCATAAGTATGATGTGTGATTGAATATAAATACTTATTTGTTCTATTTTTTTTTTATAATATAAAATGCATAATTCCGCAGAGAAAGTATATTCATCTCCCTACCTGCATCCTCACCCAGTTATTAGTCTCCTCTCCCAATTAAACACAATAAGAAGACAGGCTGGATCATAATGGAGTAACTCATTTCCAAATGGCATGCCACCGGCTTTATGGGAGAGGAGGATTGGAACACTCATTCATTAATGCAAGATAACCGCCACCCTCTCTGCAATTAACAAGTTTTTGGCAGTGAAGTGAACTCAGTGTTTGACATATCCGTTTTGCATGTCGCAAATACGGTTCTATTTAGAGAGACAGCATAAGTGAAAAGAAATGCCCACAGGTTACTATTACACAAAATGTGTTCCAGATAAAAATAAATTGAAATTCCGCCCGTAACCCCAAATCTGCATGAGTAATGTAAATTAAGTAATAGGCATCATAATCTATTTTTTCAGCCCTATTCAAGCCTGAAGGCAAAGCCTTTCTTTTTTTCAATAAAGCGCTTATATTCCGTCTCTGTAAGTCAGAGCAGTAATTCTGCTGCACAACAGAGAACACGTAGAGGAAGCCGCCTTATACAGGCTTATGTCTGTTACTTACACCTTCGTTATTTCAAATTGATTTAAATTCTGATCATTCCGAAAGTAATCCAAGCACAGCTGTATGGATGGAACGATCTATTGAGGGATTTGATTTAGCTCAGAATAGACAACATACCCATTCATGGGTTCGAATTTGAATTGTACTCAGCCTACTAAAAAGTTATAATGACCCATCAGAAGCAATCATGTGTTGTAAATTGGCTTGAGGGCTAATGAAGTAGGATGTGCGAGGCTGTTGTATAAGAGTAGAGCAGCATATGGCGCTGTTTCTCTCAACAGGCCTCAGTAAATCTGCAGTGCGCCTTTCTTTACCGTAATTTTCGCCATCCATTTCAAACGATTAGAAGAGGGTTTCAATTTAAGTATTAAAAATGGCTCAAATTCTTTCTTAACGGGTTTGTGCAGAATGTGTATTGTATTATTTAGTAAAAATAACAGAAAATATTGAAAATTAGATTTTCAAGTTGAACTTCTTTTTCATCATTTACCGTAAACAGTTCTCGTGTGCGGATGAATTCTCGCGATAGTTGCTGTAGCTGAAAATCCTAGGAGCAAAGCAGGGAGCATGACATGTCAACACAACAGATAAATTATCACCACACAGGTAACATTACACGTTGTCTTACGCGCTGTTGAATACACACGAGCCCTCACGCCGGTGTTTAGCTTCACGTCGTAGCAGGATGACGAAACGAGACCCAGAAGATGAGCCGAGAGGAGACTGTCGTGTGTGGTGTGACTTGTCCACTTTAGCTCGTCTACCACTTCCCTTTACATAGTAGCTAATTAACCCGCTATCACACGGAGTGCGTTTGGTTTGCCACACCGAGCAGACGTGTAGCGACGCGAAGGCACGTTGAAAAGGTTCCCAAAACCGTGTTGTGAAACTTGTGAGGAAGGCTGACCCGTTAGCTCTCACTCTGTGCAGCCACGCAGCGCCCCTTCCTTCTTCATTCAAGGCAGCTGTGAAGCTTTCTGAGAGCTAACGTCACATTGCACGAGTGTACTTTATTAACCACGGTGCTCATACCACAGTGGATCCATTAGCATTTGCTGTCTACCACAAATGAGTATTTTATCATATTTGTCATACTTAATATATTAATATCTTTATCTTAACGTTGATACAAGTTAAACGTCATCTCAATATTCTTAAACACTGGTGTAACCACCGGTTTTCTTATTCGACCGCCATCTTGGAAGAAACCTCCCTTAACTTTATCCTCTCCTGCTCTCATTGCTCCACTTGTAGGCATGTAAGGCTACTCCACCTGGACCTACGCCTCCTCCACCAGCATCCTCCTCACCTGCTGTCTCCATGACAACCCCTCCACTAGTGTCGCCCTTTGGCGGGCAGCCTCCGCCTCCAGCGCCGCCACAGCTGCAGCTGCAGCAGGCCCAGGCGGCACGGGATGTCAACACGGCCTCTCTGTGTCGCATCGGACAGGAGACGGTCCAAGACATTGTCCTCAGGACCATGGAGATCTTCCAGCTCCTGAGGAACATGCAGGTCTGTCTTGGGTTGCTCGTCTCCTTCCTGTTCGCCTTCTCCTGTCATTCTGTTATTATTTGCATATTCCTACCAGAGCCCTAAAGCCCTTCCTACACATTTAATGCTAGAAAAATTAGCAATAAGTATTAATAATAAATATTTATATAATATATCATTAACAAATCAAAAGTTTGATCATAAAAATCCCCTGAATGATAACAAAGCAAAATTAGTTTTCTCTGTGCTTGAGGATGATCAGTGGAAACAGGATGCACCTGAGCTAAATTTTGAGTGTCATGTCAAAGGCTGTAAATACTTATATGCATGGTATGTTTTTGTGCTTTATTTTTTTTACTTAATAATAATAATTTCCCCACAGTGAGTAACAAGTGTTATCAATGTGTTCATGATAGGAAACACTTGCCTAATAAGGGTTTTGTTCATTTGTTTTTGGTTGGAGTGGAACTTCTTTTCTTGTCATTATGTACAAGGAACTATTTCAGATAAAGACAAGAATCAAGGCCATAGACTAACTTTTAGTTCTAATGAATTGCTTTGTCTGAGGACTTACAGGTCCGTACATTTACGTACGTACACGTCTGTTGTTTGAAATATTATTGATGTGGACCCCTAACAACTCATTCTGACGCCCAACCGTGAGTCTCATTTTGTATTCGCTCCATCGCAGCCAAGTCAGAGCGGAAAGTCGTCCCGTCCCATTAAAGGTTGAGCCCGTGAATTCCCTGAGGACGCCGTGGAGGATTTGGGTTTGCTCAGAGCTCAGCTCTGACGTTGACCTGACGACGAGGCGGGTGTGAGTTCATCACAGGTGTCGGCCTGCTCCCGTGAGCCCTGCACCTTTTGTTAAAATCACAGTGAGAGACGGGCCAAACAAGCTTCCCTCAGCCACCCGATGCACAAACACCATTGATGTGACTTTTTTTTTTTTTTTAGATCCCACGCGCTGTCCTTGTCTTGTCCCCCCCCCTTTCTCTCCGTTGTCTGCCTGTCTATGTTCTCCCTGCCTGCCCTGAAGGCTGCCTCGTTTCATGTTATGTAGGAGGTTTATTACATGACAGCGCCGCCCCAGAGGCTTTTTCATGCTCTCAGTAAAAAAAAAAGACAACATGTCATGTCCCTCCGTAACAGCCATTGTAGTTAAAAGCCAGAGATGAAGCCTCAGTACCAAAAGTTAGAGAAGACATCCAAAGTAGCTTCACAGAAGCTGAAGCAGTCGACCTTTTGAAGCTTCTCGAGTCTTTGTTCTGGGGTTTAAACTGTGATTTTACGGAGACAAATTACTGTTGTATGAATACAAACATGTAAAACATTCGAGGTCTCTCTACAGCTCAATGTGTCTCCGCCGTAAGTAGAAAAGACTCCTGTTGTTATTTGTAAGAGGGCGTTAGTAGAACCAATGAACTATTACCAGTGAGGGAGTAACGCTGGGTTGTCAGTGATCAACTGATGTTTCTTTTTGCCCACGCTTTTCCCAACGCAACATTTCCTCTTTGTTGCTTCTCAGCTCCCGAATGGAGTGACTTACAACCCAAACACCCACGGGGACCGGCTGGGGAAACTGCAGGAGCACCTACGGATGCTTTCTGTGCTCTTCCGCAAGCTGCGCCTCGTCTACGACAAATGCAACGAGAACTGCTCCGGGATGGACCCGATACCCCCAGAGGTGAGGCATGGGGACGCAGAGGGGATGTTACCGTCTTTAGTTAATGTGGTTAGTGAGCACACGTGTGCAGCTTACTAAGAGTGACGGACAGTTGAGTCGGGAGTCTTTCTCACTGTCCGGCCTTTTTCACCTCTCGTCCGTGAGAACAGCACACAGTCACTGGACGCTTCACACGGGCAGGTAGTCGTCATGGAAAACAGGACAGTGGTGAATGCTGGTGCTTTGACACTTCATCGCCTGTTGTCACCAGTGTGAGAACTCGTCAGGAAGCAATTAGTGAACGACATGCGAGTTACATTAGATTCTGCCGACTCTGCTTCAGGTATCTGTGTGAATCAGGAACAGGAAGTAGGCCTCCGGTGCTCAAGAGAACACACGTTCACGAGGGCTGTAAACTGGCCCATTAATGCCCCAATAGTAATACATCAGGTTACGCCTCCTGCCCCGCATGTCCTGTATTGAAGCCGTGCTTTTGAAAATCCATAATGGCGTGTCTGTAATTTTTAATAGCGTCAGCAACAGAATGATGTTGCTGTCACTGAGATAAAGAAGAAATGGCCCCGCGAGGCGATCAATGACTACAAGAGGGGGGGTAGGGGGGTTAAACAATTTACGGCGCGTTGAAGATGTTCATATTGATTCTTTTGTGTTATACAATAGCATCAATAGCCAATTTAAATGGAAGGTGAGATTGGCAGGCTGTGTGACTACGTGTAAGCTTACATTTGAGTCTGTCCAACTGGTTAGTGTCAACACTGAAGAGACAAACAGAAAAGAGATTCCTACTGTGAGAGTTCTGAACCACCCGGAAATTGTGTTTGCACCTAAAAGAAATGTCAAAATATTAAGATTTTACACAAGACATTTTACTGCACAAATACATTGTTATCCTAACTAACTCAGTAATTAGGATAGAGAGAGCAACTTGTTGTCAACAAATACATTTAGTAGAATGCAATCATTTCTCAGCTTATTTGAGTTACTACCTATTAAGGAGAGATGATTTATTTCTATTCACCATCTATCACATCACCACTTTACTTACTGTAATTGTTACATAACTTACCTGCAGTCACCCCAGCCATACAATATTTAATGTAAAAGTAAATGGCTTTTGATGTAATTGTATTCATCTGATCTTCATTTGAACAGGACCTGTTAACTTAAACATAATAATGGAAATTCAATTAGAAAAATGGACAATGACCAATCAGAAAGAAGTATAGAAGTAGCAAAGTATACCTGTAATTCTTTCCCCATTTAGAAGGGCGTGCTCTCACGTGCTAATATTGATCCAACGATAATGACATTCTCACTTGTCACTGAGATGTTATCCAACGCCGGGCCTACTTCAAATCAAGTTCAGCTTTCAATACACACACTGCACATTCCTCAACGCAACGTGGCTCCAGCTCCTTTAATTGGACTTGATTCCACAGAAAGACATGCTGCATACGTTGCTGTCTCACGTAGCTTTTCACACAATCCGCCTGCTAAATTAGAAACCGGGAAGTAAAGCCCTCTGCTCCCCCCCCCCCACACCCAAACCCCCCGGCCTTTACCTTGGGGAACCTTTATCTCACCTACTCCCTCCAGGTCTGTCTCATTTTCTCCGCTCACAGCAGATCCGTCAGTCGCTTCCGTCGAGTCTCTGGAGTGTCTTTAGCGCCGCTTACTGTCGCCTTCCCCGTTTGGCAACAACAGCAGTGTGAGCTGTGCCACATTGCCCGCACAGGAATACACGTGCACGATTGTAACACACACCCATGGATTTTATAAAACGCAGATGTTCACAATGTGCACGGCAGCGTGACACAAAGCCACTTGCACAAACACACACTGGGCGTGCGCTGTTGGAGGCTCCACGCTGAGCTACACCTCTGCTATCCACCACTGTTTGATTGGATTTATGACTGCGGCAGTCCCTTCCCAATTTCTACAGATTGCCTCGAAGCTAATCTCGCTCACCAGACTCCTACTGAGGCTGGAGGAGGACGTGGGAGGAGACGCTGACATTGGAACCAATTTGCAACGACTCAAACCGCATGTACATTTTCTGTGAATTGAATAATACAATAACACAATGTTGGCGAGCATTTTCCTTTTGTGCTGTAATAGCCGAAACCCACATTGAGTCATCGCGGCATCTGGCTACAGTACCGCTTAAAAGGGCTTGGACGTCTTTTAACCGGCACTGTATGTTTTCCCCTTGTGGAAGTCTATTTCCCCTCGGGCCTGAGACCCGGTGCATTGCTGACCGGCCAATAGCTCGACTCGCCGTGGCCATCTGGGGGCGGAGGGTTGTTGATTTTGGCCCGAGCACGCATGCCATTTATCATCCCGCAGAATTCAGGTGCCTGCCTGACAGACGGCCACTATGGGCTGCCCGAAACAGGAAGTGGAATCAATGACTCGGGTAGTGTGACCTCATTGCTGCCTAATTAGCAACAGACTCGTTAAATGAACAGCTGGGCCAAATGCACACGTCGGCGCTTTTCCTTCCAGCTGTGGTTCTGTGCTGCAGCGTTTTCCTCCCTGGTTTTCTCCCGCGTCCACCTTTCCTGGTTCCTTCTCACTTCTTCATATACCTCTGTTTCCATCTTGTTGTCTCTCTCTGTTACCTGCTCATTATTTCCCCCTCTCTAGGTTTATTTATTCAGGTTGGCTTTGTTTCACTCGCTGTTCCCTTTTGTCTGGTGTTTCGATAGTAGTCTGTGTCATTTCCTGTCCTCTGCAGCCACGCAGTTTCATATCCCTCTTGGCTTGTCGATGTTTTTTTGGATTATGTTTTCGACCCTTTTCTTTTTGTCTCAACGAGGCCAACCTGCAGAACTTCATCCACTCATTCCTCTCCGTCAGGCAGGAAACCACATCCATCTTTCAGTGGAAGGGGCAGGGGTTATGACACACACACACACACAATACACTCCATCCACGTTTCTCACTCCACTCAGCACATTTCATTTTCCCCTAAATAGCTGCCAAAATCAGCCTGCCACCTAAAATTCAATATGTCATTGACTTCAGTTTGAAATGATCTAATGAAAAAACGTTCCTCTTTTCCTACTTAGTTTCCTCGAGCCGAAGGCATAGTTTGTCCGATTTAATATCCTGCGCATGTCCTTGCTGTCTGGTTTCCCTCCATCAGTCAGAGTTTGCAGTTTGGCGTGAAGCTCGGTCTGGAAACTGACAGGAGCACATAAAGTTACCAAGATTTTCACATCTCACTGCCGGCCCTCTGTCCTTTTCTGTTTCTCATATCCTGGCTCCCCTTTTATCCGTTTAGTATTTTCTCTTTGTCTGTTTCTTGTCTTCTGCTCTCTTTCAGCTTTAACTTTTTGCCTATCTGACATTTTGTTCATGGTTTTACAGCGCTTTTCCTACTTACGTGTCATTCTTGATGTTAGCCAGCTCCGGCTGCTCTAAAACATTGAGTCATTGCCTCCAGACTAAGCAGCTTATTGTTGGAATGCATTGAGATGCATTCCAAGTATTGTTCTTCGAATCTTTATTCCGACTTATTATTATGTTTCTTCTATTTCTTCCGCGCCGCCTTTCAACTCCTTCACATTTTCAGCTATTAAAATCCTTCAAATATTAAAATGTTCAGCTCCTTTCTGGCTTGAGGGCTATGACTTTTCAGCTTTCTACCTCTTATGCTTGAATTTATATAAATCAATAATCATTAATATTTTAACATGGTTTTCAAATGGAGTTTGCTTTCAAATCCTCCTAAACTTCTTCAACTTTCAGATTTTTCAGCTTCGCCAATCTTTCAGCTACAGACACCATTTAAACTTTCAAATGTTGACACAAGTCTCAACTATTTTATGAAAAAAACTGCTTGTTGATATCTATTGTACTTTTTTCATAATCACTGATTATGTTTCACTAGTTCTTCGCTCCGTTTCTGACTTTTACATGAGTGTGTATTGCGTCTGCTAGAGTGGAGAGCTCGCGGGGCTAGAGGCTGAAGCAGCGCAGAAATCTGGTTAAAAAAGTATGGAACTTCTGTCCTTGCAGCCAAAGTATACACTCTAGAGGCTTCATTTCTTCAGATTAATGAGGGTATGGTTGTGCTGATTGGATTAATGTGTTCATGGAATCCCAGAGTTTTTTAGTTTTGGCGCAAGGAGTGTTTGAGTGACACAACCTCTGCCAAAAGCCCCATAGGCTCCAATACAAATCTGCCGACATATTTCTCACAAAAATCCACAAGGTACACGTTCTGTCAACGGCCATAGGAGTCGTATTTATTACCGGACAGACATAAAAAGCACATCCACGCGTTCGGTATAGTCTTGGGTCTCATACAAACGCCGTATTTTTTAGATAGCTGTTATAGTTTTGCGCTGGTTCTCATTTGTTTGAGGTGTGGATTCTGTGTAACTCGCTGTCCTGTGTCTGCCCTTTGCAGCCGCACAGGTGCGGCGTTTTCCTTGCTTACGAGCTCTCACACGCTGCAGGATCTGTCTGTGACTCACAACTGCTCGCCTCTATGACTCTGATTATTGGAGTCCATGAACCAGCTATGCTTTCTGGCACCGACCATATGATAAAGACCACACGCCCCCCCTCCCCC